TACGTTGAGCCAGAATATTGAAATACAGTTTCCTGCAGTCAAAACAAGACACTCACACTTCTCTGGTCTAGTTCGCCATTCTTATCGATAAACATGACTTGATTTAATTTCTTACGATGGTTCTTGTTATTGAGAATGGATCAATGATGTCTTGAATAGATGTCTTCCTGAACGACTTCAACTGAGAGGCAGTTTCAGTTTCAACAAGCTGGACATTGTTTTTCTGTGGAGTCTTCCACAAGAAAGACAGAGCTACTACACACACGAAGGTGCTTGATGTACTCAGTACCTTCTTCGAAATGAACATATTTTCATTTCCATCTTCATTATATTTTCGTCTCTGCATCGTCGACGATGTCCACTTCTGACTCCGTAATCTTGTCACCCATCCTCTCCAAAAACACAAATCGAGTGCTGCTTGCATGCTGGATCAGTTGAAGTCAGTCTCTGCTCTAGCAAGATCGGCATGCAAAAATTACATGACTGAAAATATTCCGAAATAGCTTTTCTGAACGACGAAGTTTGTTCTTCAAATTATGATGAATAGCACAACCTACTAGCCAGAACGTCCTCTCAAAAGAGGTTCTATCTGAAGCCTGCAAGATTTTCGACCACCCTTCGTTTTGGAGAGGAGCCCACACACACCAGACTCGAGCTACAAGTAAACTACGCGGAGATCGAGAGTTGATCGAAATCTTTCTTGCTCACTTCTGAAACCTGTGAAGGAAAAAAGTATGCTGAACGCGTGAATGCCTACAGTTGAGTCGTAATATTTTGACGTGGATCCTGTGACCGTTCACAGAGAAAGTCGCGGCTGTTTCTGACTGGTCATCGGGATTGTAATGTATATAATTATAAGATTCAAACTGGTGTGTGACTTTATGACTGCTCTTCGGGGATTTGTGACTGTTTGATTGGTCACGGGGATCGTGATCGGTCATCGAGACGTGACTGCTCACTGAGTCCTACATATACACGTCAAACTAGGACATTAAGTAAATGGCATTGATTTTGTTTCACTGGAAAATAGAGAAAGAGAAACAAGCCATTGTGTGTGGATTTTCTGATTTCAATTTTGAGAGCGTGTAGTCTTTCAGGGGCTTGAAGTGATGTCTGTATCAACTCGCAATTGACGATTTCTGTGGTTTCTGTGATGTCCGGCTGTGATGCCGGTGGTATTTGCGTGTCTATGGTATCCGTGATGTCTGTGGTATCAATGTTGCCGGTGGTGTTGATGGCACCTGTGGTTTCTATGGTATCTGCGGTATCTGTGGTGTCAAACTCCATGATGCAATGACTGCCATAGGTCGTATCTATGCAATGTATAACTACAATGCCGACAACGTCACACATCTACCGGATGGAAAATCGCTTCCGCGCCAAGATACACTTGGCCACTTTGGTAAGGAGATATGCCAAGATTCTCATAGCAACTAAATCATTGAAATAACAGATATACAGCACGAACTTAGAACTACACAGCATTTACGCTTAGTAGGAAGGATTACCATTATTCCTCCATATTCTGTTCTGTTTCAGTAAAATGACATGGCCAGTGGGTCTCCTTGTGTGAATAATACACTCTGATGCATATTGTGCATGTGGATCTATTTGATATCATGTGCAGTAATGAAGTACTCAGACGACAGAGGTGCAACATGGTCAAAGGCACGATATGAAATACCTTACAGGTTAGTAGTAGTGTGGCACTACATTGCATGTCTAGACACACACACAGTGTAGCACCACTAGTACATTGCAGGTCTAGACACAGTGTAGCACCACTAGTACATTGCAGGTCTAGACACAGTGTAGCACCACTAGTACTAGGGGTCTAGACACAGTGTAGCACCACTTTAATTATATAGTACTAGGGGTCTAGGTACAGTACTGCAGTATCAGGGGTGAAAGTTGACTGGTTCATGGCATGCCGAGGAACCTGCTAATTCAGCCAATGTTGTCACTAACAAACATCTTGAAAGTTTTTGTCTTCACAAGTATACTTTCAAGCCTTCTCATCAGGTGAAATACAGGCAAGGGAAAAGGAACAGGAACAGTGGATTAAATACAGTAAGAAGGTGGTAAAACAGCGCAAAAAGAAAGAAAGAAAGAAAGAAGATAGCTAAGCTATCTTCTTTCTTTCTTTCTTTCTTTTTGCGCTATCTTCTTTCTTTCTTTCTTTCTTTTTGCGCTGTTTTACCACCTTCTTACTGTATTTAATCCACTGTTCCTGTTCCTTTTCCCTTGCCTGGAACAGTGGATTAAATACAGTAAGAAGGTGGTAAAACAGCGCAAAAAGAAAGAAAGAAAGAAAGAAAGAAGATAGCTAAGCTATCTTCTTTCTTTCTTTCTTTCTTTTTGCGCTATCTTCTTTCTTTCTTTCTTTCTTTTTGCGCTGTTTTACCACCTTCTTACTGTATTTAATCCACTGTTCCTGTTCCTTTTCCCTTGCCTGTATTTCACCTGATGAGAAGGCTTGAAAGTATACTTGTGAAGACAAAAACTTTCAAGATGTTTGTAATGAGCCTGAAGTGTGTCCTTTTTATGAGTATTATCGCATTTTTGTCTCAGAGGAAACTGTTGTCACTAACCAGTGTTTTAATGCTGTGCAGGGATGATATCCAGCATGCAGTTTTAGCATAGCCGGGTATCACTTTGAATGCACCTCGGGCTACGCACCTGAGCATCATGCACATCACAGTACCCCTGCAAAACAATTACTTAGGTCCTACCCCGCCATGCATTACAGATATCCAATGCACTCGTTATTGCTGCATCCATGCTGCCCATCATGAAACATGTCATTGCAATGAATATTACCCATCGGCATGGAGTGAAGTAAGATTGGGTATTGCCACGTTCAGTTTGACAGCTTCCTTCTTGTTCAAGCTATGTCCCTGATATCGACATGGTTATTGACCGCCAGCTGATACTACAACTTCCATTGCTCTGTTTAGGATATGACATGTTTCAATCCTTGGTCTTTGACCACTTTGGTGGTGGGTCTGATCTAATCATCTCCCATCGCTTTAAAGGGGAAGTTAAGGCAAAAATTAAAATTTCACCAGTTGTAGTCTTCGGGGTGCTGAGTCGAATGGTCTTGGTCCGAGGAATCTGAGACGCTCCCTTCCTACTTGAATCCCAATCGAACTTGCGCACTTCCACCGAAACTGGGTGACTGCGCCCTACTAGATGGGGATTTGTATGCAAAATGTCACTAAAAGCGCCATTTCGTTCTTATAAAAGCACGGATGACCGCGATTGGCCCATATGTTGTAGTCTTTTGGACGCTGAGTCGACTGGTTTTGGTCCGAAAAGGCTGCGATGCAGCGTTCCTCCTTTATTCCCAATCGAACATGGTTGAAGAAGCGGTCACGTGGTCCTGGGTGCCCAAATCACCTGGTCACCACGCCAGCAGGTGACAACTTTCACACCAAGGTTCAACTCGAGTTCAAGACTGCACCCAAAAAAGGTCAAACAGGCTAGTAAGTTGTACCCTGCAGGCACGGTGACCAGGTGACTGGTGTACGCAGGAGCACGTGACCGCTTCTTCAACCATGTTCGATTGGGAATAAAGGAGGAACGCTGCATCGCAGCCTTTTCGGACCAAAACCAGTCGACTCAGCGTCCAAAAGACTACAACATATGGGCCAATCGCGGTCATCCGTGCTTTTATAAGAACGAAATGGCGCTTTTAGTGACATTTTGCATACAAATCCCCATCTAGTAGGGCGCAGTCACCCAGTTTCGGTGGAAGTGCGCGAGTTCGATTGGGATTCAAGTAGGAAGGGAGCGTCTCAGCTTCCTCGGACCACGACCATTCGACTCAGCACCCCGAAGACTACAACTGGTGAAATTTTAATTTTTGCCTTAACTTCCCCTTTAAGAGCTGCATCTGCATCTTGATTCTGTAGTAGGGTGGTGTTCCTATGGATACGGTCTCACGCAAACCGTGACGCTTTTTTAATCCTGTGCTCTGTATGTTGTTGGCAGCAAGCCGCTTACATTGCATCAACCACAGTTGCATGCTGTACATATATGTGCAGGTTGACTTCCATTGATACCAGGAATTCCTTCAGTGGCAAAGTTAAGATAATGTGGTCAGTGGACCAGGCAAAGCTGGATGCCCACGACACTCTATACTATTCCTTCACAAAAATTGGAGTTTATCCTCAGAACCCACCCGAAGAGGCAAGTTGGAGTCTGTTGGTGGGAGGGGAGGGTGTTGAAGATCTGCTTTTGGCAATGGACCAAGTTGAGTTGACAGGTATCTGAACTTCGTGCTGAGTGCCATTTCTCTTAAGTGCAGACTTGTGGCAAGTGGATTCAAAATCAGTGCAGACTGTTGCTTTTTGTTATGCACGTAGAGAGACAAGCATTGATGCAAACAATACTTGGCATGGCAAAGTGAAGCTCATGTGGTCGGTAGATCAATGTAAATATTCCACCACAGGCAATGGCAAAGCAACACTGTACTATTCATTCACCAAGATTGGACAGTATTCTTACAGCCCACCTGAAGAGGCAAGTCACATAAGTTGAATGCAACACATAGTGGGTGAGATGCATTACAAAGTGGTACTGATCATGATTTCTGGGTTTGATAAAGTGTTCTAGACAGTATTCTACATTCCTAACACAGTGACTGTTATGCTCTCCTGTTATGTAGAAATCATGAGTAAGAGCAGTTAGTGCCTATGATCCATTTCTCTTACCATTCATATTCACTCTAGATGATTAGTGTAATTTACCCGGGGGGGGGGGGGGGGGGAGGGGGGTACTATGACTGTAATGCATACATGTATGTACCACCATCTACAAGATGAATATTGAGGCAATGAATCCCCCAAGTACAAAAAAGGCCTTATGCCCTTGGACTTCTCTAGTTGCAAATAGTCTGCATTACTCTATCTACTGTATACTGTAAATATACAAAATTTCGGCGCTGCAAAATTTCGGCACTTCACGATTTTTGACATTTCGGCGGCGATGTATTTTCGGCGTGGGGTAGAGGGCATGGTATTACGACAGATGCTGTGAAAAATTTCATCGGCGTTTTAATTTAGGCGTTTTGGGTCGGTGCCGAATATAGCCGAAATTAAATAGCTGCCGAAAATTTGTATATTTACAGTACGTACACATTTTCATTCACGAAATCTTTCGTTAGATCACTCCACCAGCCGCTGAGGGTTGTTACGTACTAAATTTCGGTTTTGGTCGAGGTCTGTCACCCCGAACGTTCAGAAAAAACTTTAGTTTGGTACAAACTTTAGTTATTTCGTGCCCCCTAACGAATATAGCGAAAGTTAATTCCAAACGAAAATTTGTGCTTATACAGTAGTTTCAAAGCTAGTCCTCTGGTTGATGCTGGTCTCCTAGCAGGATTGCAACATGAGAACTGTGAATACTAGTACAGGTCGTCCCTCGTTAATACATAATCTCTGGGACTTGACAAATGTTATGTATTAACGGGGTTTATGTACTAAACGAAAGTGTAAATAACTTGCTTGTATACCAGAATTTTTCACTTTTTTCAACTTTTCTGAGTGTTTCTTGCTGCCATGACTAGGGAGCGAGATATTCTTGATTCCCTCGATATAACATAAAAATTATGTTATACCGGTCACAGTCAGCGAAGATTCTACAGTTTACATGATACTGTCCTATCCTGTATCATGTTATCCTTTCACCCATTCACGGCATAGTCCTTCCCCTGCCTGTCGCCATGTATAGACGGTACGTGACCTCTCACTACCCCCGTGCTACGCACGATACCATGCTCTGCTGGGCATGGCCTCCCTGACTCTTCACTATATCTACACTCATCTGTCTGTAAAATAGGGGGACTTCCTTATGTCAGTACATGACACAACATGGTGTCAGAAGTTAGTCAACCAGGTCTACACTTCGAGTAGAAATGGCCAAGTTCGCGCCGCCTGCAGACTTTGATTTCTCCATTCCAGATGCCTGGCCGGCTTGGAAACGCCGGTTTGCGAGATATCGCCTCGCCTCAGAGCTCAACGCGAAAGACGAGAAAGTGCAAATCTCTACGTTGCTCTACTCGCTGGGCCCTGAGGCCGAAACTGTCTTCGATCAACTGGTATTCGACACCGTTGGAGACGAGGACAAGTATGACAAGGTCATGACGAAGCTGGACGCTTACTTTACGCCAGCATTGAACGTGTTTCACCAGAGGACCATTTTCGAACAGTGTGTCCATCTTCCAGGAGAGTCCGTGGAAGAATTTGTTCGGAAACTTCACGCAGCAGCGAAGTTCTGTGACTTTGGTGACCAGAAGGACAACAGAATTCGAGATCGCCTCGTGGCTCACATTCTGGATCGTCAAGTCGCCAAGGAGCTGCAGCTGATTGAGCCCGCAAAACTCACCCTCACGGACGCAGTTCTCAGGGCCAGGCAGGCCGAGAAAATTTCCGGAGACGTTGCAGCGCAAGCCGCCAGGCCGCAGGTCAATGCTGCATCCCGCTTTGGAGGAAAGCAGCAAGATGCAAGGAGTCGCCGCCAGCGCAGCGGGGTTCCATCGAAGCCTGCACCAACGCCGTCCACGCAGAGGAAGAGCGGCACTGCAGCTTCAACATGTCCGTGGTGTGGCCACGCTGGTTCGCACAAGAGTAACCGTTCTGCGTGTCCTGCGTTTGGTCGCAAGTGTAATTCATGCGGCAAGCAGGGCCACTTCGCCGCCGTCTGTCTTTCCACTCCAGCAACCACGCGTGGTGCCAGAGCTGTCGAAGACGAATCGCTCGCGTCTCCGTCGCCATTCATGGGTGGTGTTGCAGAGCTGTCATCCAACGCCAGTCCTTCCCAGTCCACCGACGCCTGGTCAGTAAGTCTGCCTGTTTGCTCGACAAATTTGATATTCAAGATCGACACAGGTGCAGATGTATCATGTATCACGCACTCCACGTATCAGAATCTCGTACAACGCCCTGTACTCACACCATCCACTACCAAACTCCTTGGTCCATCTGGTGCACCTCTATCCATCAAGGGTCAGTTCACTGCAGACACCATGCACAAGAGTGAACTGTTCTCTATGGAGATCGTAGTTATCGATGGTCCTGGATCTACCAACCTGTTGAGTCGCAGAGACTGCCTCCGACTTCGCCTGATCCAGCGTTTAGATGCAGCAGAATCGTGTACCAGCAAGCCAGCACAGCCCATCGGTTGTATGGTTGGGCCCCCAGCTGATATCAAGCTCGTGGACGACGCCACGCCGTACCACTGTGGTGTTGCCCGCCGTGTGCCTCTGCCTCTACAGGACAAGGTCACAGAAGAGCTCGCACGTATGGAGGAAATGGGCATCATCGTCCGGGAAACGGGTCCCTCTGACTGGTGCTCTCCTATGGTGCCGGTTCGTAAACCTAATGGTCGCGTACGGATCTGCGTAGACCTAAAGAAGCTGAACGGCAACGTGAAGCGCGAGCACTTCCCTCTTCCGACAGTTGAGGACACACTGGCTAGGCTCGCCGGATCTACTGTCTTTTCCACGCTGGATGCCAACAGCGGCTTCTGGCAAGTGCCTCTCACGGAGTCTGCATCCAAGCTGACCACGTTCATCACGCCTGTGGGTCGGTTCCGATTCCTCCGGATGCCATTCGGTATAACCTCTGCACCGGAAATCTTCCAGCGACGCCTGCAGGACTTCCTCTCCCACGTCAAAGGTTCCGAGGTATTCATGGACGACGTTCTGGTCCACGCCGCTAACGAAGCTGAACACGACCACCGGCTGGACACAACGCGCCAGGTCCTTGCCGACGCAGGCATCACTCTAAACCCCGACAAATGCCACCTCAAGCAGTCGTCAGTCAAGTACCTGGGACACATCGTCAGTGGGTCCGGTGTGAAACCCGACCCCAGCAAAGTCTCTGCCATTGACGACCTCAAGGAGCCTACGAATGTTCCTGAGCTTCGCCGTGCCTTAGGTCTCTTCACCTACGTCGCCAGATTCATCCCGGAATTGGCTACGATCTCAGCGCCCCTCCGTCAGCTCCTGCACACCGACACTGATTGGTTCTGGGACTCCCCGCAGCAAGACGCGTTCCGTCGGCTGAAAGAGCTCGTCGTTTCAGCCCCGTGCTTAGTGCACTATGACCCCAAGCGTCCCATCATGGTCAGTGCCGATGCCAGCAGCTATGGCATTGGTGGTGTTCTGCTCCAGAAGCACGATGGCGACTGGCGCCCAGTAGCCTACGCCTCCCGTTCCCTGACCAAGACGGAACAAGGCTACGCGCAGATCGAAAAGGAATGCCTCGCAGCGGTGTGGACGTGCGAGAGGTTAGACCAGTACCTCTTCGGCGCTCCCAGGTTCATCGTGCAGACGGACCACAAGCCGCTAGTGCCACTGATCAACACCAGAGACCTGGACAAGGTTCCCATCCGATGCCAACGAATGCTGCTCCGCTTCCTCCGGTACGAAGTCCAAGCCATACACGTTCCCGGCAAGGATCTGGTGGTGGCTGACACGCTTTCACGAGCGCCAGCATCGGCATCAGTTGACAACGTTCTGCAAGACGACATCGGCATGGTTTTATCAACCACTGCCGAAGATCTCACAAGTCCATCCGTTCTCGCCGACCTAGCCAAGGCTACGTCTGAAGATCCCGTGTTATCCAGTGTGATGCGCTACGTCATCCATGGCTGGCCTGCTACCGTCCCTGACGACATCAAGCCGTTCCATCGTGAGCGAGGCCAGTTGTCTCACATGCAAGGTGTATTGTGCCACGGCTTTCGCCTGGTTGTTCCGTCCGTGCTACAGCCTGAGATCCTCCAGAAGCTGCACGATGGTCACCAAGGTGTCACGAAGAGTAAAGCCCGTGCCCGCTTCTCGTCATGGTGGCCAGGTATCTCTGCCGACATCGAGGCGTACGTCGCCAAGTGCACTACCTGTATCAAGCAGCGTCATCAGTCTCCAGAGCCTCTTCAGACAACTCCGTTCCCCGAGCGTCCGTGGCAGCGTATCGCATCGGATCTCTGTGATGTCGACGGCCGCCAGTACCTGATTACTGTCGACTATTTCTCCCGTTACATTGATGTCGCTTGTCTCTCATCGACTACGTCACGGGCCGTCATTACTCATCTGAAGAGCATATTTGCTGCCCACGGCTATCCGGACATCTTCGTCAGCGATAACGGGCCACAGTTCGCTTCCGACGCCTTTGCACAGTTTATGTCGTCGTGCAACATCACGCATCGGACCAGCAGCCCGAAGCATCCTCAAAGCAACGGCGAAGCAGAACGCGCCGTGCAGACTGCCAAACGACTCATCCGTGCGCCAGGTGATCTACAGCAGTCCCTCCTAGCGTATCGCTCCACACCCCTGGCCAACGGCTATTCGCCCGCCGAACTATTGTACGGCCGCAGGCTCCGCACCAATCTTCCGTGCCCACCTGATCTCCTGCAACCCTCCTGGCCAGACATCACCGCTCTCCGGGCCAAGGAGCAGGAGGCTAAGCATCGGCAAGAAGATCACTTCGATCAACGCTTCGCAGAAAAGTCGCTCTCCCCTCTGCCACTGGGAGCGAAAGTGTGGGTCGACGACAAGCGCGAGGGTACAGTGGTTGAGCAACTCACCGATCGCTCCTACAACATCGCCACCTCATCCGGTCTTCTGCGCCGAAACCGCCGTGCAGTGAAGTTGCTCCAGCCAGTGACTCCTCCCGGACCGGTGCCAGCAGTACCACCGGCCGCGCTAGTCCCGCAACAACAGCCTGTGCCTACGTCACAGCCAACTCTCCGTGCTCGCAACAACATCCAGCCACCGCAGAGATTGATCGCTACCATATAACTCTCTCTGGCTTCATGCTATTGCTATTGCTCTCCCGCACATTGCATAGTTCTGTTCTATGTGCCCGGCTATGTACAACCCGTACATGTATCTGTCTTGCCTTTTCTCCATAACAGTTTTTTTCCCAGCTGTTGTGTTTTTGCTCTCTTTAATTTTTTTTCAAAAAGGGGGAGATGTCCTATCCTGTATCATGTTATCCTTTCACCCATTCACGGCATAGTCCTTCCCCTGCCTGTCGCCATGTATAGACGGTACGTGACCTCTCACTACCCCCGTGCTACGCACGATACCATGCTCTGCTGGGCATGGCCTCCCTGACTCTTCACTATATCTACACTCATCTGTCTGTAAAATAGGGGGACTTCCTTATGTCAGTACATGACACAACAGATACATGCCCAGCGGCGCCTGTACAGTCAATCGAAAAAACAAGAGCTTTGTCGGTTTGTGATGTGCGCTCTGATTTCTGAGCTAATTGCGTCCACAAGTAGAAACTAGAACACGATGTGCGTCCACTGGAAGGCTAAAAGACCAACAAATTATGTACTATTGAGGTAGGTGGCACGCGGGTACGGAGAAATGTTATGTACTAACGGGGTTTATGTACTAACGAATTATGTACTAACCGACAAAATTTGTATGGAAGTGACCACGTTTCGTCCGGGACTTGAGATTTCTTATGTACTAACGGGGTTTATGTACTAACCGGACTCGTATTAACGGGGGACGACCTGTATTGTTATTGCTCTGTTTGACTACTCTATTGCAATCTTCAGGTGTGGTTCTTGGCTTCGGAGAACATCATGACAGAGAGGGATGTATCGAAAGTGAGTCACATTCTCTGTTATCATTCTGCCTGTGCCATGCTGCCATGACAAACTACAAGTAGTCACTTGTCATGTTCCCTTCAGGTAGTCCTCACCATCAGACCATGCACAAATCTGCTGATCTTTGACTCATGGTTCAACATTGATATTCGAGACAATGAAAACATGACCGACATATTGTCGGGCCAATAAAACTGGATGGCCATATTAAGAGAACCCATTTGACATAATTATAGACCATATTGCACCCGTCCACTGTGATATCATCTGTACATGGTTCTAAAAAATCTTGTATGTTGACACGCACGTATTATGTGCATACCTGTAGGTAACTTGGAAGCTGTTACCCGATGGCGATCATGGTCTTCCTCCACCCGGTGGTAATCCTAATATTGCTGAAGAGGGACATATCATGCCCATGCCAAATGGTCTGTTCTACTCAGTTTTCAGAACAACACAGGTAAGGAATTTAGCATGGCAAGGATGTTCCTTTTATGGCTATACTATTTCAAATATGGCTGCAATGTTCCCAGCATGGCTACGACAGTCAAACATGGCTATGAGGCTCCCCAAGTAGTAAAATGGATACACAGAATGGTTGGAATGTTATGGTACTAGTAATCTCTTGTGTTATGAGGTATCATGCCAAGACTGTGCTGGTGAGTTCACTGCATACTACGCAAGAAGCACTCTAGTTCAGACACATCTGCACTATGCTTCAACCAAATTTGCCGCTAGCGTTTTGTGAATTTTCTGGTGCAAGAAATCCATCGCCGTCTACATGATTCATTTGTTGGTCCCAAGGCCAAATTGACACAGAGAAACCTGTTCCGTGCCATTGTGTGTGACTCCAGGGACTTCTGGCAGCTTGCTACACACCTGGACCTACAGCGGCAAAGTGGAATGATTGCAATGACTATTTCGCAGAATACCAACGTTCCATTACTGGCAAGGTAACTTTGTCTCTTGGCATATCACTTTGTTGGTTGTAGGCGTTTTTTCCAAAACGGGAGACCAATATCAATGGTGTACTGTCCTACCACAGTTGGTTTTTCTCCCAATGCTATGCCAAAGACGTGTGACACCACTAGTCCGGTTTAGCCGCAGTCCAATGCCTTTTAACTCATGCGTCACGGGTACCGTATTATCTCCAATATGAGCCCAGGGCTTATATTTTTTCAACCGGTCCGGACCCCGGGATTATATTAGAGACTGTGCTTCTACTAGAGACTGGGCTTGTATTTTTTCAACCATCTGGTACATGTAAATTGGTTATCAATTATTTTATGTTATACCAGTGGTGTTTCCCAACAGGTACCATGACTGTAGTTTTGTGCTTCCTGGTACACCCCTTGTCTGAACTATTAATCTCAGAGGTCACAGACTTTCACCACATCATGTTTTTAAGTGATACTGTGTGAAGTCAAACATTATGCCCATGATCCATATAGTTCTCCATCATAAGCCCTGCACTTATATTGGAGACTTCGCTTGTATATCTTTGAAGCCCTCTTGGAGTGCGCTTATAATCGAGACTGGGCTTCTACAAGAGACTTGGCTTGTAATAGAGATAATACGGTATGTATCAGTGTGTGGCAGAAGGCGGGCATTGTTTGCATGTCACTGGACCAAGTCACCACGTGAGCAGCCAAGAGTGCGGGTCACTTGTCAACATCACCTCACCCTACCAACTACACGACTTGCAGACTTCATGTGCCGAGTGTATGACCATCAAACACATCTCATAGAGTTGTTCATGTAGTGATTAGTGTAGCGGCTCCAGGCATCCCATGTTGCCTGTATTCCATACATGTCATGTGCTAGTTCATTCAGCTACAGAAAGATTTTCAAGTACGGCTACACCGCCGGCACGATAAAGACCCTGAGCGGAAGCTCTCTTATTCAACCCATTAAGCCTTTGAAGCATGGTTGCAGAACGAGATTCTTTCTTCATCTACATGGGATAAATCTTGTAACTCTCATTGCAGCTTTCTCACGCAGTTTTCTCACAGCATGCACGCGGCTCCTGCAGGTTTTCAGAATCAATGAACTACAAGTATTCATTTTACAGTTAAAGTGATGATGTCAGATACTGCAGCGTTCTGTCACCTATATTAATCTGTATGGCTCTCATCATTATCCAGCTGGCATATCAATCACATGACAGCCTTACATGCATACTCTGTAGCTGTAGACAAGTGCCTTACTGTGACTGTGTCGTGCTCTGTTCCAACTAGGCCCATTTCCTGAAGAATCCACGTGGTCCTATCACCATGAAGCAGTTCAGTAATGGACGCTATCTACTTCTCTACTACAACAATGGTAACACTGGCTTTACGTCGACACATGCAACTGATGCTATGGACGATGCTGCTCCTGTTGACAGGCGAGATACACTAGCAGCTAGTACAGACAATTCACGCAATCCCTATTGGCTGGCGTCCGGCATTGCATTAGATGATGGTAGAATTCTCTGGTCGCAGCCAGAAATCATTATCTACGACCGAGTACCAACCCGGCCAGGATACCCAGGTAGGTCCAGTGCTGTCCTCTCTACGATCAGTCAAAGTTCTCTCTCTCTCTCTCTTCCTGTCTCTGTGTCCCTCCCTGTCTCTGCCTATCTCTGTCTCTGTGTCCCTCTGTGTCTCTGCCTATCGCTGTCTCTCTGTCTCCGTCTGTCTCCGTCTGTCTGTCTCTCTCTCTCTCTCTCTCACTCTCTCTCTCTCTCTCTCTCTCTCTCTCTCTCTCTTTATAAATTCATGGCACTGTGCCTCTCTGTATATTTGTCCATTTTGGTTCACAAATCCAAATATAATCAACAATAACAAGAAGCTCTATCGTTGTGAATAGAGCTGTATGAATGATGTTGCTTGGTAACTTACCATTAGCGATGACGGAATCAGCAAGATTTGATTGAGCATACGAAGAGTTGTGATGTGTGCTGATTGTCAGAGTTTGAACCTGTGAATTCCGAATTGAGGTTTCTCCACTGCATCGATGCCAATACCTGAATTGCCTTCTGAGTATATTCTTGTGCAAGTCTCCCATCCCGGTACCACTTACTTCAAAATAATCATTTCATCCATGCTGTGAAAAAATGCCCAAAGATGGATGTTATCTTCATGTGTGTCTTTCAAGTAGACAAAGTATTTTTTTTAAGTCTCTAAAAGGTACATAATTTATCGGTGCGTTTTTTCAATGTTTGTTTAGATTTCATTGAGATCCCATCAACTGGTCAAATATTCATCACCGAGACCCAGAAGACAACAGCAAGGTTGCATGAGGTAATAATTGCCTGCATGATCTCTCAGTGTTGTCTCTTTGCCACCAATGTACACAGCCACAACGATACTGCAATAAACGTACACTCCAGGGAGCTTTAAAAGCTTCAAACAATGTCATGATTTGTGTGAGGTACACTGAGTGCAGTCAACTCTAGTCCCTTTTCTAAGCGAAAAAGAGAGATTTGTTGTATTATTGTTGAGCAACTTTGTGTTTCGCCATTTTCCAGATAAACAAGCTGCTTCTTTCAAATCTTTGGGAGCAACACAACTCAACTGCGGTTGCAAGTGACTATGCAGCCAAATACGAGAAGTCAGATTCCAAGGTAACTATGATGAGTTTAAAGATTGGTGTTTGTGGGTGTGGGGGATGAGGATGGGTGAACCGTATAATTGAAAGCCGAGTTTTCAAGTCTGCAACCACCTCTTTACATAATTATACAAAGGCATTAGAAGAACCTAATGATTGCTTTTCAGCATGAAACTCGTGAGTAGAGACACTTAATCACTTTTTTGTTCCCGGCACCGGATTTTCGTCTGTCAAAAGGCAATAATAATGCTAGGGGCTGTACGACTAGAATGCCTGCTGCACTGCCCCACTAGTTAAACATGGAGGGCACCTGGCACACTTTCCCCTCCCCCCCCCCCCTCTACCTTGATGCAGTAGTTGGAGCATGAATCACTTGCAAAGATGAAGGTATACTGGGTACTCATGATCTAATGCACACTGTCAGCCATAATCATGCACCGCAAATACGACACAATGTGCCATGCATTGTTAATGATAGCCTGTGTTGTGTTTCCTGTATGTGTTTTGTTCTCCGCCTTTGTCTATCCCCAGATAATGCCTATGGCAAGCCTGCCGACATTTGGAAATTACACACGTGAAGATGACTACGTCCAGGGATTCACTGTACTGCTCTGGCTAGAACCACTGCAAGCTACCAACACTCAGACACTACTGACAAGTTATGAACATGATTATCACAAGGTATGCACATCTTCTCGTAGAAGCAATGAATACCATTCTTTCTGTGCAACACTGGACCCAAACACTGGGCATATGTATACAAGTTGAAACCATCCCTGCCCCATCAGGGGTTGATCTTCATTAGGTGACAATATGCCTACAGTAAAGTCACTGATCAGCCTAAAAGGAAGTCAGCAACTGCCCAGAACATATGACACCCCTGTAGAAGCAATGCTTACAGCAATCCGGCTAGTGCTTGTGCACGGCCTGGTGTGTACCATATCTAGCCTATGTCAAGGATATCACGTGTCGATTCCTTCTATTCACGTGTACCACTTTCTGTTGTGATGTTATGTGCGTGTGTTGTGCACATGTGTGTGTATGCATGTGTGTGTGTGTGTGTGTGTGTGTGTGTGTGTGTGTGTGTGTGTGTGTGTGTGTGTGTGCATGCGTGTGTGTGCTTGTGCGTATGTGTGTGCATGCGTGTGTGGGCGTGTGATCAGGGTCTCGGCATAGTCTGGCAGAATTCCACAATCAACTTCACAACAAGTGATAACTACGCCCTGGGATCGTGTACAACAGACAGTGTCTGCTCCGCAAGACTGCAGTCGACGACAGAGAAAACACATCAGTTGGCTGTGACCGTCGACAACGGGCCATTCATGATAACATTGGCTGTGGATGGTGTGCTGTGTGACGGGGGACACGATCGGGCTAGAGGTTCATGCTGGATGGACAATCAGGTGAGAGTTGCTAGATGTTGATGTGAAGAGTACAGGGAATGAATAGAAGAGAGCGACAGAGAGAGAGAGAGAGAGAGAGAGAGAGAGAGAGAGAGAGAGAGAGAGAGAGAGAGAGGGGGGGGGGGTGAGAGAGAGAGATAGGGAGAGAGAGAGAGAGAGAGAGAGAGAGAGAGAGAGAGAGAGAGAGAGAGAGAGAGAGAGAGAGAGAGAGAGAGAGAGAGAGAGAGAGAGAGGCATACACAGACACACGGTCGGACTTACAGAGAGACATTCGACGGAAGTCTGCCTATATACTCATGGTCGATTCCATATATCCACATGACGGCCAGTGTTTCTAAAAAAATGTTTTAAAACTTAATTGCCCTGTCGGTCATTACCTATTTCTTCATAGCAACCAGCCCGTCAGCGTGCTAGGAAAACTGTTGTGTTTTAGCCAAATGGTTCATGTCTAGTCATGTACTCTGTAATAATTTTTCCTGTCTTGTGCTGTCACCATGCCCAGCTTCGTGATGTGAATGGCCTTGCCAATGCTACAGTGGGGGACTCAGTGATGGAGATTCTTCTCTACAACCGCGCCTTGTTCAACAGCGAGGTGGTGGCAAACTACAATAGCAAGCAAGGCTAAGACAGAGGTGTGAGCATGCGAAGACACACTAGTACTCACAAAGATGTCTTGCTTCCAAGCATTACTTCACGGACAAATTACATATTTATCGCACTAGGAGTATGGAAAAATGATACTTTTAGAATTTCATCAGGAAGTATTCTGTCGGTCACACAATCCTGGTGTTTTGGCACTCTTGTTCCGCGACCATTCTCACAATAATACGTACCTGGTTTTCTTCCCTATATCGCAATTTGTTCATACAAACATGAACGGAATAGTTGGCTATGTCCACTGTGACTGCAAGGACTAGGTGAACTTTGGCATGGTCTTGCAGATTGGCTGTAGCAATGCATGGCCAATGAAATACAAGATTTTCCTTGGCAACGTAGTCAGGCTACTGTAGACCAGCATGTGGACAGTTCTATAAACAATCGCCATGCTGTGTCTGGAGCCAAGTTCGTACTTTGCTGACCAATATTGTGCACAACACAACACCGCATGATTTTTGTATTTTTTCTTTGGAACGCCATCACAAATAATTATTTATAGTTTTGAATGATTTGGAATCAATCTTTGCTTGCCTGGCATGTCGCATCGTGTTGTGTTGTACCTCTTGTTCGGACTTGATAACAAATTTCGATGACTTATGTTTGTATGTTATCTCCCCTAAAGGCTAGAGTCTCCAGGCGCTCTGGTCTAGGGCATTCAAGTGGATCTCAGTTTCTGCAGGAAAGTTGCATGTTTCAACATGCGAGTGTTCGGGGATTTAAAATTGGTACGAGCTGGTTCATGAGACTATCCGGGATATACAAGGAGCACATGTTGCCCAATGCAAGGGGCTCACCTTTCAAAATATGCATAATTATTACTTCCAGTACAATACTCTAAATAGTGGTTGCAACTTCGGCGATGATTTGTAAGAAAGGGTTCGCTCCCCACACCGGAGCTTGCGCTATTCCGCAGCCTTAATTTGACACTTGACTGACTCACGACTGCCATCCAGAGAACATGAGAAGTCAATCGAACTTTTGACTCAGCAAACCTTAAGTTAAGTCGGCGGAATAGCGTGAGCTCCGGTATGAGGAGCGAACCCTTTCTTACAATGCTGGTATTCTCCTTGAAAGGACATGTTTGGCAAGGCCACTACAGAGCTGGCACCCGTACGTAGAGTCAAGCCCACTCTACAGCTATTGAATTAACTTCGAGAAATAGCTAAAAGTCTCAAAATATACAATGTAAACAGGGGCGTGCTCGGCCCCCCAACTAGGGGGGTGCACGGGAGCCGAGGGGAGCCCCCCCCGGCAATTTTCTGCAATTTGTTTGCAACCTTTCTTGAATTTTAGAGCATATTTGCATACATTACAATTGCAATTACCCAGATTGGAAATTTAAGGGGGGTGCACGTGCCCCCCGTGCCCATCGCCGAGCACGCGCCTGGTAAATAATACAACTCTGCACGCCGTGAATTGAGCACTGTGACCTGAAGTCAAGGTTCTTCTGTCAATGATGTAAATAATAAAGATATTGTTCTGAAATCTCTTCTATAATAATTTTTCATTTGTAATTTGTAATTCTCTGACCAAGTTACATACATTTGACAAGCTCGATTTCCAACTGAAGAGCGTCAGCGCTAGTCTATCTCCAACACTGCTAACTTCTGAATGAGGCACATGAGGATGGCCAGCCATCAGCATGGGAGACTGAGCAAATAGTAGTCAGTAATAGTGAGCGAGAGAGAGAAGAGAGAGAGGGGGGGGGGGGGGAGTGAGGGAAAGTTAGATGGAGAAGAAGAGATATAATAATATTATAGATAGAAATAGGACCAAGCCTGTGTGAAACCGTTGGCACACGTGTTCCAGACACATGCAGTAAGACCAGTCCGAAGTTGCCTAGCTATTTCCACTCCAATCTTCCTTGATGAGATCGGCGGCTTTCTCCGCAATCATGATTGTTGGTGCGTTGGTATTGCCAGAGACTAACAGAGGCATTACGGATGCATCCACTACACGTAGACCGTGTATACCACGGACACGTAGAGTCTCGTCAACGACAGCCGTAGGATCGCTGGCTGCACCCATCTTGCACGTACCAACGTAATGCCAGCCGGTGCTTGATGCTTCTTCAGTGGCCAGTCGTGTGCAGTCATCACTATCATACCGTATATCTAGACTGGCACATGCACGCCGCCGTATTGAGTCATAGAGCACTAGATAATCCGAACTGTTCACCATCTCACTCATGGCATCACCCCGTAGCAGTTCCAGGGCCATCTTTACACCTTCAAGCAGTACCTCTCTGTCTTGGGGGGATGAGTAATACTTCGGTTTAATCAACGGCAATTCAAAAGGATCGGTTGATTTTAGGAGCACCTGGCCTCTGCTCTCTGGATGAAGAATATTGGGGAATATACTACAAGTATGCATATCCTTTAGATTCCTACCACCCAGCGTGTGGGCAGCCATTTTCATGTACTCCATCCTGACATTGGCCATGACCGTGCTCAGGTCGTCATCTATACCGTTGCACGCAACATAGTACTGGACATCGGGCTGTGTGGAGTTGGCGGCGATGGCGTGCTTTGTGCGTACAAATCCAGTCAGGTCCAGGGTTGAAGTGACTAGAGGCCCAGAGTGCCACACAAGGTACGATAATATGCTTCTCAGTGACATAATATCCCGACGGCTGTACCCGTAAGGGCCGCTAAGAACTACCGGAATGCCGGTTATAACATGGTCTTGAAGGTTTTGGCCAACCGGAAGATCAGCCACTATAGGTATGTTGTGCCTGGCTAGCTCATCTCTTGGTCCAATTCCAGACAACATGAAAATCTTAGCTGAACCCACCGTACCAGAACTGACTAGAACTTCACGTGTAGCTTTCACAGTCCGAAGTTGCAGTGAGAGTGGCGGATAAAACTCCACTCCAACAGCGCTCCCGTTCTCCACTAGGATACGAGACACGTGCGCCCCGGTCATGACGTGCAAGTTTGGTCGATGCCATGCCGGTCGTAGGTATGCCTCTGCCGTGCTCCAGCGTCGACCGTTCTTGATCGTGTACTGGGTCTTGGTAAATCCAAACTGACTTGCTCCGTTGTAGTCATGATGTGTTGTGTGACCGGCATCTGCTGCTGCTGCCAGCAACGCCTCCATAGCGGGTGGTACGTACGTCACCGTAGTAACAGCAAGAGGACCATCGTTACCATGGTAGCCAGCATCCACTGCCGTGGAGCCGATGTAAGACTCGGCTTTCTTGAAGTAAGGCAGCACGTGGTCGTAAGACCAGCCTGCTGCTCCACTGCTCTGCCAGGCGTTGTAATCATCCCTGTTGCCTCGTGTGTACATCATCCAGTTTAGCGCAGACGATCCACCAAGTGAGCGACCAGCTATCCAGTGTGTCTGGCCGGCGTATTTCAACTTGCCAATTCGAGCCCCTGGCTCGCTGTCCCCCATGTACCGCCAGTTGTGCTTAGTAAGCGGTAGTTTGCTCGCAGCGATAGGCAATTGCCCATCCGGGTGATCATCGTGTCCACCACTCTCCAGGAGCAAGACATTGAAATCAGCATTCTCGGACAGGCGTGCAGCCAGAACGCAACCTGCTGAGCCAGCACCCACGATAATGAAGTCGTACTCCTCATTCAAATCCTCCACTTTTACGTCTTGGTACGTCTGGGTTCTGAACGAGCGCAGGCAAATAGCGATCACGGGAATTAGAACAATACTCCAAATTAGTATCGACCTCATCTCTCCGAAAAGCTAACCACTGCTGCCGTAGATGTACTTGAGAGTTTATGATTGTTTAGCTATCACGTTCACGATGTAGATCTATCTATGCCATAGCTATGGCTAGTCAAACAAGGCTCGAGTTGTTTGTTGAGACGAGAAGTAAAATTAATAGTTGGAACACAAGTGGTAAGGGCCTAGGCTGTCCTAGCTAGTCACACGGCAACTACCTGAACAATGCCAATATGATGAAGACCAGGCGCTAGGCTGGCCTCAAGCGAAGGTCCCTCGTTCGATTCCTGGTGGTGACAGTCCATTTTTTCTTCAGACTTTTCCCTTTTCCATTCCCTTATTTATGCCGGTAGTCATGGTAGTCGTAAAACTAAAAAAAGCCCTGCAGCTGTCACTTCATCAGTTCTACGCTGAATCTGTGTAGAACTGATGAAGTGACATGACAGGGCTTTTAAAAAGTTTTACTGATGAAGTCTTGTACTGTTGTAGCTAGAGCTAGCCTAGGCTAGAGGCTGGCTCGCGATTTTTTCTCTGCAAAGTACAAGTACATGATTGTATTAGTAATAATGTTGTTGCCCGCGCCCTGCGGCCGACCGGCTGATGACAGGCCAGGTGACAGCAAAACTCCAACCAAAACGAAAGTTGGACTCACCACTGCGTAGATCTACTGGCACCAATAACACAAAATACAAGAGTACAATGTCATAATCCCACTACACTTGCTGGCACCAGGCCAGGCAGTGCGAGTACGCAGGCGAAGGTAAAAAAGAACGACTTCGTATTCCTGTGTGAGTCCACACACATACACGGTTTGTTCGTGGGACTTCCATTGGATATGCTGATTATGTGTGCCGGCCAGAATCATGCAAACGCCTGCATCCATCGTTAATTGCCGACGGTTCAAATGTACACCATGGCAAACAAATTTCTTTTACTAGTATTAATATGAACAGCAATAGGAATGCATGCTATCCAAGTTTGATTTGTCAACGGGATCGCAGTTTAGGCTGACGCTTAGCACAGAAAAGTGAAGGCATGAAATAATTATTCTTTGCGCATCAATACAAGCTGAAATCAAGATCAACATGAATGTCATTGCATGATGATGTGCCCATGGCATTAGGGCTCAGTAGGCGCAACACAGTTCAGTCGTAGCAAATCATGCAGAATCTATATGCTCAAAGTTTCAACAAGTACTCATTGTGTGCATCTCAGCACATGCACAACGAATCTAGACTAGATACGGCAGTTAGCAGAAGGTAATGCACGTGTAGTAGTATGGTTTAGCCATAAAAATAATTCTGCAAGCATAGTAGGGTTCACAAATCTACGAGTATCTAGACAACAAGAATGTGCAGAGGTCCAGTCTGCATGTAGGAACGCATGATCAGGTTCTTGGTGAGTGGAGTTGCACAACTAGCAATAGCTTGCATGCATTTACAATCTTATGTCTCGTTTGCAAGCTCAGCCTGATCCTGAATACATTTCTGAATTCGTAACTCTTCCTTTAGAGCGTTCATGGCGACATGACACCTTTCCGTGCAGGAGAATGGTAGAATGCGCCGGCGAATCTTTGACAGTTTGCGAAATCGCCCTGCAACACACAGCAGCAAACAGCAGAGACTTCAAGGAGAACTCCTCTCTTGCTCTTTGTCCCAGACCTGTCTTAGCCAAACCGTGATCAAGTGGCACTTTTAGGCCAGCCGTTCCTGTAACTACCACACATGCATAGCAAACATAACTGCCATAGAAGGAACGTGACTACACTCCAGCAAACGGAACAGCCATACAAGGAACCAAACAACCATACATGTAATAGCAGACTGCCATACTTGTACAAGGAACAGAACTACACTCTGGAGAACAGAACAACCATCCAGGGGAAGATGCATAACTACATGTTCTCCACAACATACAACATAGGTCTAAACTACATGATCTCCACATTGCTACGTTATCTCACCAGCGCGGGTTCTCCCCAGTAACTTGAACGTCGTGACTGAGTTGCTCCTCTTTAGACGCTCAAAATCCCGACAAGTCGTTGGGTGCATAGACAGTCCCCGTGCACCATACGTGTAATACTCTCCCTGCAGAAGACAGATCATGATCCACACACACCACACACACACACACACACACACACACACACACACACACACACACACACACACACACACACACACACACACACACACACACACACACACACACACACACACACACAAACTGAGATAGGCAGATAGAGAATGAGAGCGTTGTACAGCTCAGGCGCGTGCGTCGGTGCCCTTCAAGGGTGGGTTACTGGGCCTCCCCCGGGAAAATTTCAAAAAATGAAGCAAAATCCTGCATTTTGGGCGAAAAAAGAGGGGTTCCAGGCACCCAGGAACCCATACGGGGCACGCGCCTGCAGCTGTGCATACAGTATGGTCGGGTGACAAGGAACAGGAGGGGGGGGGGGGGGCAGTCTCGCAGCCTAGCTCTTTTTGTCTTGCTACCTGTCGCCATCCCTGTTCCACTTCGACATCCTTACAACTAGTAACACTAATCATCATAATGATTATCCTGTCAACAGCGATTCTAATCCTTCACACTCAGGCGTTGAATTCGGTGGAAACCTGTTTGCTTGCTTTAGATAGGATCACTTGGCCTTTTCGCATTTTGCCTGTTTTACGCTTCTTCCTTTTTCAGGAGACTATTTTGCCAAAAATCTGCCACCCACGTGAATTTTCATGGATAAGCCAAGATGCTTCGTTCTTCCTTTATTATGCAATTGTTTCCTCCAGCTTGGCAAAGTAAAAGAATCACCCCCGTACATGCACTGTACGCAGAGTTCAGTCGACAAGGCCGGATGCAATTTTACTTTACACAGCACTCATGTTGCTGTTTTCATAATTCTCCCATCACTTGCACTCCTGATTGTGTGAGTCCAGCTAAGGTCCAAACAGGGCACTTAAATCACTTTGACCACATATCTGGGGGATTTGGGACAATTCTGACAGATATCCTATATGCTGCACTCTGGAAAATCGAATGCGACCAAAATCAAAACGATTGTAGCAAGTTTGAAAATGGTGTAAAATCACTACTGCAATGCCAGACCTCCCCCTCAATTTTGTATTAGAATATCAGCATGTCAAGTAGACCCTTCATCTTAGTGTCCCCATCTCCTCACTAACCTTGCATGAGTCATTGAGGAATACAACAATTTGTGTTAGACGTATCCCAGACTCTTGCTGCTGCTGCTGTGTGTGATGTAGTTCATACACCTTGTATGTCAGCTTGGACAAGTCGCACGTCCTCACTGCCATTGGAGAAGCAGAACAACACAACATGCATCAGTGTCGGGATTGCCGGGCCGGTTGCACGTGGAGTTACTACCGTAGAATTCTAGGAAAGTACATTCTGCATCACTATAGGGACGTGTCTGTGTGTGTGTGTGTGTGTGCGCGCGCGCGCGCGTGTGTGTACGTGTGTGTGCATTTGCCTGCTTCGGCAGCTATTGGGGTTATACATAAAGGCAAACGTGGTCGCCTTTGGCAGCTACAACATAGCTCCATTAGACCAATCACTGGCAATTGAACATGTTTGACTTGTCCATATACACATGTGGAAACAAACAAGTAGAAAAGGAAGAATAATGTGTTGTATGTGGACAAATAACATGTTGAACTACTCACAACAATCGGAGGCTGAACATGGCTGGCTTTGCAGTGCATGTGATGTAATCCACTCATCCGGACATCGACACTTATTCTTACATCTGCATGAGCACACCAATGGCAACAAACACATCCGTGACAGCACAATGCATGTTACAATGTGAATTGCAAGTCCATAGTTGGCATATACCCAAATACTATGAGTTCTACTACCTGACTCCGGCATGCAGTGGCTGTTGGTAGCCACCCAGGAGAATGAGAAAGAGAAGAAAGATGTGTGTGACCATAATGCCAGAGTCAGTATGTGGTGGTGTGTGTGTGTGTGTGTGTGTGTGTGTGTGTGTGTTGAAAAATGAATGAAAAATATTTTTTTTAAACAGGGATTCACTGGCCAGAAAAGCCACTCCGATCAGCTGTGTGGTGTAGACCAGGCTAAAGCTAGTGGCGGTCAACTCATCAGCCTTGCAAGCTGTTGAATGATGTAATCCCAGCACAAGTTGCTATGTCTAACATAGCTTGTTCGCTATTATCGCTTCAGCGATGGGCAGGAGTATGAGTAAAGTCAGACCTCGTTTAACCGCACACATCCGTTTTCCACAAAAAATCTCCAGATAGGCGAGGGAACTGGATAATCGAACACACATACTGTATGTATGCATGGCATATGCTGTAAATCGGTAACCAGCTATTTTCTTCCGGATGGCAAGGGATCCGGATAAAAGAAGAGGTCAGACTGTACTACCTGACATTGGTAATCACCTCTTATAAGTTATAACCATAATGGAGATTTGAAGCATTCCGATGCCATGGTTCAGTTGATATAATGTGTACAACGCATAATTTCATGTGTTCCCACCGGTCCAATTTCATACGGTGCAAATCCACTTAGGTCACTTTGAAGGCCGACGCTAATAAGTAACCATCCCACAATTGTTTTCTTGTAAAGAAAAGAATACATTAAAAAAGGAACCAGCACTACCCCATACAATACACATACACATACACCTGCACATACACATAGCAGTGTATCCTACCGGCAGTATCGTGTTCGCATACGTTGTTGATTGGGCCCATTACACTCCCGAGAACAGGGTGACCATGAAGACCAGCTTCTGCAGCGTATTGCAGTCTTTGGCGATGAACAGGCTGTGCAAGATAAGGAAGGCAATTGAAAAGGACAGGGTCAGGGTCATAGAAGTGTAGAACCTACAATTTTCTACCTCAAGTCAGTATCGAGCTAAGCTTGGCATGCTGCCTGTGAGTGTGTGAGTGTGTGTGTGTGTGTGTGTGTGTGTGTGTGTGTGTGTGTATGTGTGTGTGTGTGTGTGTGTGTGTGTGTGTGTGTGTGTGTGTGTGTGTGTGTGTGTGTGTGTATGTGAAAAAGCCACTTCATAGCTGTGTGGTGTAGACCAGGCTGAATAGTGGCAGTCAATTCTTCAGCTTTGCAAGCTGTTGAATGGTGCAATCCCAGCACAAGCTGCTATGGCTTCTGCTGTAGCATCGCCATCATCGCCTCTGGCGATGGGCGTCCAATGGTCCAATGGTCCAATGGTGTGTGTGTATGTGTGTGTGTGTGTCTGTGTGTGTACGGTGTGTGTTTGTGTCTGTGTGGTATGGTGTGTGTGTGTGTGTGTGTGTGTGTGTGTGTGTGTGTGTGTATTTGTTATCGAGCATAGGCTGGCAAAAGAGTGCGGCTGACCGATTCTATAGTCCCCTATTACAGCTGAGTGAAGTGATTCGAAACACACAGTACCCTTTCTGGGTGGTCATAGAACGTGAAATTTCCCTTGCTCCATTTGCACACACGCACATCTGAGTGATATCGAGTCTGTACCTTGATTGGTTCTCCTTTGCGCTGCTGCTGCTGTTGTCGGCATCGGTGGTGGAGTAGACCGAGTTGTTGGTCTCTGGTTGGCAGCTGAACAATCAAATGTGCAAAACCCCGGGTCACATACAATGCATAGTCCCAACGCCTCTATTAGATACCCACTAAAGTCACACTGTATACTGTAAGTCTACAAATATTCGGCGCAGATTTATTTTCGGCCTGGTCTTGTTTGGCCGAAAATTTGTTGCGGCCGAAATGTTGTTTTGCAAGGTTCAATGTGACAGTGTATACAGACGGCAGCAGTACAGGCCGAAATGGGTTTTAGCCGTGGGAGGCCGAAATTTGAATGGGCCGAAAATGTGTAGACTTATAGTAAGAGATTTTCATCACTACACAGCGGCATAGTGCAGGGATAACATAATGTATTCTCACTTTGCTACACTACGACATATCGAATTGATGGGTGATTTTGTGAAACAGTAGTAGAGTGATAATACATTGTGTAGTCTGGTGTAGCGGTTAGTCAATGCTTACCTCCAGGTAGTGTTGCTGGTGGATTGGGTCGGTTGTACCTTGGTCCAAGATCTGCATGGACATTCCAGAGATAAACATATCACGATGTAGTGAAAATCTGGATATTTGAAATCCCTCAAATAGAAATACATGCCAAATTTGGCAAGCAAATTGTTGTTGTTGGTGCTGGTGCTGTTGTTGTTGTTGTAGTTGTAGTTGTAGTTGTTGTTGTTGCTGTTGCTGTTGCTGTTGCTGTTGTTGTTGTTGTTGTTGTTGTTGTTGTTGTTGTTGTTGTTGTTGTTGTTGTAGTTGTTGTTGTTGTTGTTGTTGTTGTTGTTGCTGTTGTTGTTGTTGTATTTTAATTCACCATGAATGTGAAGTAACAGTTTATTGCTAGTCACTCACCTGTGCAAACTGGGCAGCAACTAAATGGATAGACGTCCATTGGCGTCAAGTGTGCTGCACATTTCGTGTTGGAACATGGCTTACGGAAACACATCTCGACGCCATTCTATCACAGACACACATGTACACGCGTAGGCAGACACACACACACACACGCACAAACATGCAATACACACGCACACACAAGACAACAGAGTAATCAATTACCATGCAGTGATTGCAAGCACAAGTTTCGGAAAGTAGAGTGAAGTAGATCTGTCCCTAATATAGCCAAACTGTCTTCTCTGCTTTGAGTAACGGTGACCAGTGGAGGAGAGTTAGTTTACACGTGTATGTACAGCCACAGACACAGACACAGACACAGCCACAGCCACAGACACAGACACTTAGTACTGTAGTGCAGTGATACATCTCTTAAACTGTCAAATCCTATATATAGGATTTTTTGAAAAATTCCAATAATCATGACCATGCTTCTGCCCGGGATAAGTTGTGTCCCTAAATTGTATCATACGGTGTTAGGGCAGTATCAGTAGGTTCTTTTGAGAAGTTTTCAAGATTGCCAGTAGTATTGCTTGACTTATAGGGCCGTTTTAGAGAGGACCTGTCAGTTTTTTCTCGGATCCTATATAGGATTTGAGTATTCTGCATTATCCAGAGTGTTGTAATGGATGCAGATGATGATAGAACTGGCAGGGAAAGTAATATAGAATGCCTAGTATGCTGAATAAGTACACAGATAGCATGAATAGATGTCTGTGATTGATTGGGGAGCACTGCCACAGGTTGGACTATTTAGTGCTTTTAACCGTACTACAGAGGAAGCTTCACCCGAAAATTGGCCGATCGGCTTGAAGGTTGGATTATTCCTACAGACGTATATGGAAACCAGTTCCAAACACCTCATGAAACCATTTCATCAATTTTCATAGGTTGTTTAGCGAAATCCTTCAGCCAGAAGCCAAATCCTATTATATAGGATTTGCTGGTGACAGTTTAAGAGATAGATAATATGTTTAGTGTGATCATGTTCTTACTGTGCAGTTGCATCGATAGCATGGTCGAGTAGCATCGTGCCACTCCTCACCGTCCAAGTACTGGCTGCCGTCATGTGTGCAGCCTTTGCGTATGCTGCTGGTAGAGCTACCTTCATCAGACCCACCACTAGCAAGCCATGCATCTAAATATCACAAAGACACAGATCACACAAGTTCATATGAAGAGTTTAATCTGTACTAGTAGTTTAGATGCAAAACGCAATACATCCATTTCATCACTCTTCGGATAATCACCAAAAAATGATTAACTTTATGTGCGGTGTGTATCCAAATCCATCTTTGGTCACCATTTTAAAAGTGGTTCTAAGTTAGCAGGATTTTGAATGAGAAATTTTCCTGAAGGTGCCTCTGGACCTATTGATTACATTGAGCTAAAAAAATCTCTCAAATTTGGCCCTTGTCGCGTTTTACATCTAAACTCTTCACACGGTAATCTTGTTAGCACAGATCAAGGCCAATACCACCTGTAGGTAGTGTGAGTTGTTATTCTTCTGCACTGGACAAATTCAAAAATTCACATCTCTCTGTCCGGATCACTTTTTCTTACAAGATCCAACGCAACTACTCTGACAGTCTGTTTCATTCTATGTAAATGGTCCATGGTTTTCATGCGGGCCAAAACAACGGTGACCACATTTCTGTGTATTTTGTATGGTTAGAAACGACCATCAGAAAGACAGATCAGTTTCTAACTTTCTAACATGCATATGGATATTTGCTGTGGTTGGCTATCACCCTTCATTTCACATTCATTTGTCATTGGCAGTCGTTTGGCGAGCCAGGAAATGTTGAATAAATACAAATATCACATTTAGGGAATTGCCAAAGCTTTCAACTGATGATGTAATCGCAAGACCTCTATAGAATATTACACATGGTTCCTATGACGCTTACGTGCTGGGTCGACCTGACATAGCGGACAACAGAGGACACTGACTGGGCACAGCGGACACGTCTTCTTCCAACCAAGTCCACAAGAAGTACATGAGAATAGCTGCCCGCAGTCGGCGACTCCCGTCCTCTGAGAAAGTAATTGCACACAATACATGTACAGACATTGGCAAAGTCATCGGAGCGAGTATCGTCACACGATGCCACACAATAACATAATTTTAATTGTTACAAATTGTTTTCAGAACTTTGAAGCTCCATTCAAGCCTTGTCATCCGGCTTTTTTCAATACACCTCCAACACTGTGATCCCTGATGATGCCCATTTGGGCGAACATTTGGAAACAATCCTTGTGCGTGGTGTCATGAGCCGAGGACTGTTCGTGTGTTACTGATTGTACTTAGACCTTTATAATTTTAAGGTAACTTCCATGAAATCTAAGATCTCAGGACACCTAAGACATCAGTACAGCAAACATGTACCAGCACAAGAAAAGAGCAAGACATCTGGCAGAGAGTATGGATGCATGCGTGAGGAAGCAGACCATGGCCAGCTTGAGCTGCGGTGACTGTGCTACTTCTTTGTGAGGAAGCAGACCATGGCCAGCTTGAGCTGCAGTGACTGTGCTACTTCTTTGTGAGGAAACAGACCATGGCCAGCTTGAGCTGCAGTGACTGTGCTACTTCTGTGTGAGGAAACAGACCATGGCCAGCTTGAGCTGCAGTGACTGTGCTACTTCTTTGTGAGGAAGCAGACCATCGCCAGCTTGAGCTGCAGTGACTGTGCTACTTCTTTGTGAGGAAGCAGACCATCGCCAGCTTGAGCTGCAGTGACTGTGCTACTTCTTTGTGAGGAAACAGACCATCGCCAGCTTGAGCTGCAGTGACTGTGCTACTTCTTTGTGAGGAAGCAGACCATGGCCAGCTTGAGCTGCAGTGACTGTGCTACTTCTTTGTGAGGAAACAGACCATCGCCAGCTTGAGCTGCAGTGACTGTGCTACTTCTTTGTGAGGAAGCAGACCATCGCCAGCTTGAGCTGCAGTGACTGTGCTACTTCTTTGTGAGGAAACAGACCATGGCCAGCTTGAGCTGCAGTGACTGTGCTACTTCTTTGTGAGGAAACAGACCATCGCCAGCTTGAGCTGCAGTGACTGTGCTACTTCTTTGTGAGGAAACAGACCATGGCCAGCTTGAGCTGCAGTGACTGTGCTACTTCTTTGTGAGGAAACAGACCATGGCCAGCTTGAGCTGCAGTGACTGTGCTACTTCTTTGTGAGGAAACAGACCATGGCCAGCTCGAGCTGCAGTGACTGTGCTACTTCTTTGTGAGGAAGCAGACCATGGCCAGCTTGAGCTGCAGTGACTGTGCTACTTCTTTGTGAGGAAGCAGACCATGGCCAGCTTGAGCTGCAGTGACTGTGCTACTTCTTTGTGAGGAAGCAGACCATGGCCAGCTTGAGCTGCAGTGACTGTGCTACTTCTTTGTGAGGAAGCAGACCATGGCCAGCTTGAGCTGCAGTGACTGTGCTACTTCTTTGAAGTACTACAGTCTACATGTACTACTAAATCTTAAATAGCCTGTATCGTTTTGTGGGTTGGCCAGTGACGTTTAAGCCAAGTGGCATGGGACAATAATATACATCGGTTATTTTACTGGATTTGGGTAATAATTTTATCCCGCTTGGTCTTGGCCTTCTGCATCACAATTTGTAGAGATTGTGATTGCTGATCGTGGGATATAATAGAGTATTGGAGGCTTACCGGGTTGCAATAGCATTGTGTGCAGTAATCGATATTGCGTTCAGCTGTCAGCGGATGATAGAGTGTTCCCGGTGGTATGGAGACGTTGGGGAAATACTGTGATGAGCAGCTACGACCAGTGACGTATGTCCCATGTGTTGCTTGCACTGCAAACATGTAAAACAGTATGATATCAACATGTTGTTACACTGACCAGATCATAGATGGCACGCACGGATTTAGAATGCCAGTTCCCAAACTGTTTACCGTTCACAAGATTATGCTCTGGTATTCTGCAACAGTTCCCATTACCCACACATACGCGTGCTCGAAATCAACACCATCCTCTTCTCAAATAGATACATGCTACTGGAAACTGCAGGGCTGATAAATGTGTATGACTTTAGTCCGTTGCAGAATGTTTGCGCACTCACGCACTGTCTTCGAGTACTATAAAGTAAAGTTGAGTTGAGTGCGAGATAGACACCCCAGATGATTACCAGGACGAGCAAAGCACTACCCTGGTTGCTGAGGCGATATCGCAGATCGTACTGGCATACTGTACTGTTCCTGACCTCGCTTGAGCACTGTACCAGGTTTTTAGGGATACTGTGTCTGTTGTTACACAGTACACCATTGGAACAATCTTTTGAAGGCCAGTTCATTGCAAACTTTAGATTTCTGCCCAGTGCAATCATGGGGCAACCTAGGCTATTGTTCTCGAACGTGGCCAATCTCAGGACAAAAATGGAGGTGCTCACATGCATGGCAATACATGAGTGGACCTTTGTGAAATCAATGCAGACTTGCTTCTGAGAGTGGTGCCTCTTTTGCCGAGGAGCACGTACTTTTGGTGGGATCCCCAAGAGAGAAAGGGAGGTGAGAAAGCGCGCCAAACTCAAACAACAGATCCAAGTCCTGTACCCAGTCCATGCCCTATCATGGCTAGCGTACTCTACCCATCATCAGACCGCCTTGTACAATACATCTGTCATGTGCTTCTGTCTATGAACATGACTCCAATGTGATTTCAGGCTACTGCAGTACATTGGTACCGCGGTATACACCAGTAACATACACCGCGGTATACACCAGTAACATACACCAGTAACACAGGACACACAGGCACATGACTGTACTGGCCACACTGGTATGTCTGACACTTCTGAAGTAAGTAATTATGGTCCACATAATCATTGGGCATTGTACAATCATCTACGAGCTCGTAGCCCACCATGGTGTACTTACCGAATGCCAACACCAGAAACGTACTGATCAGAAGCCGTGCTAGTTTTAGAGATGTCAAACTCAAGGTGTCGGGAAAAGCGTGTATGTTTCCACAAGATACACCACCACCACCACCACGAACGCAGCATGATCCACGCTGCATTTTCACGTCGTCGAGTAGAGCAGGCAAACAGCAAACGAAGGAGTCCGCGAGAAGAGCATAAACTCCACGAAAAGACAACTGAACACGATGCTATCTTCGCCGGCACTGCCATCCTCGATCGATTCAACAGACTTTTACCAGTACTTCGATGTAGGAACGACTGTTGCGAGTTCTTGGCGGAACACTGCGACCCTGCTGCCAGCGGGTCGTCCGGCTTCGACGAAACAAACGTAAGTCGTTACTTCGCTGTACAGCTAACGATCGATCTGGAAAGGCGCGAAATAGAATCACCGATTCAGGATTTGTACTGGCGGTTCGATGGAGTGCCACGAGGTTGGTAACTCGAAACTAGCGTGATTGGCTCGAGGCTCGATGAGAACAGCCTTCAGTAAAAGTCGGACAAGCAGTCGTGTGTTGCTTCGGTCTTGTTTCATGGGTCTTCACCACGTGTCAATAGACGGTAACAAGAGAGAACACTCGTGTTTTCTCTTCGCAAACTGCGGAAAACTGCCGCAAACTGACACGTGTCGGTACAGGAGAAGGGTGTCACGTCCAACAACTGAGGATCGGACTCCTCTCTTCCGATTTCCCCTACACAACACTCACAGGATCGTAAAGAACACCATGGCATGGGGCATGAGCGCCAGCAGCGGCGGAGCCACAGTCCGCCCTCCTGAATCTAGCTCGGCGTAGTCTCCAAACTAGTCGTGCCTTCTGTACACTAAAACTAAAGCGACACACCACACTGTCACAACCCACGGCTAGCCGCCAGCTACTGCTCGAGAACTAGAGTTGGAGACAAGATAAAAAGGACACAAAACGACAGGACGGATAGCTTCGTCGTCCCTTGTTTTCTTTCGTCTCGCCTCGTGTGCGGCGCTTGATGATGATCAGAAATGACGTAGTTCACTGCACGTGCACTGTATAATCCAGATGCGCTTGAGAACTAAAATCTTACTGGCGCCAATAAAGTGTGAACGAGATTGGAGGGAGTCGGAGACAGATGTGATGTGACTTGTGAGGTGAGTTTCTTTATGCAGTTCCGTGGACATTGTCATTGGTGTTAGCAGCGCGGTGGGAGTGCAAGACCGGAGTCTCGGCGGAGAGAAGAAAGTACTAGCAGTTGATTCACCAACTAGCTTGGCAAGGTACGTCTCTTCAAAGAGATCAAAAACTCGTAACGGTTAAGATGTGGTTTGCTGGCTTTCACCTGGTCATCGCCTGCAGTCGTTGTCTTGAACTGAGTTGGGTATGACAAAGTCTAGTCCAAGGCAAGGGCAACCTCCGACGTGACACAGCATTCAGCATCATGACTTTACTGCCGACTGGACTCAGATACACTGTATTACTGTATGCTTCACTCACTACTGAGTGACAGTGAGTCTGTCTACTCTCTTGTCTCAGGGCTCAACTGATTGTCTCTTGTTGTATCACAGGAGATCGTGCTCGACTAGCTTGTCCCAGGATGATCCGGGCCAGTTGTCCGATTTGTAACAAGCTGTGGCCTGGGGTACATGTTAGGATGATTATGAAGTGTGATCCCCATGACCCAACACTGGCAACAGAAAGCAGGTCTGAGGATACTCATAAGACATAACCCTCGAAGACAACCACATGACAAGGAAAGGACTAAGCAGAAACATCAGTGAAGCACAAGCACAACTTGCCACAACTTGCCACAAGACTATTTTTTCCATTCGTCTAAACCTTTATCCACACTGGACCACAGCTTCCTACGAGTCGCCTAAAGTGGTTTCGATCTTGACTTGATTCGGTGGCTACAACGAACTCAACCTCTAGCGTCCATGGACCAAGATCAAGATCAAGTATGATGAGAACGTAATGGTCCACCATCAGACGATGATCTTGTGTTCACCGGGTCCTGTGGACACCCAAGGAGGTATAACTTAGTTAGGGTTGCCAAGATTCGCAAAAGCGTTGCCAACACGAACCGTTTAACCAATCAATTACTTGAAGTATTATCGGAAGAAGAAAACTCAGTGAAGATTTAGCACATTGTAAACGCTTCCAGGCTTGGCAGCGTTTGACGTTGCAGTCGGGAAATTTCAGTGGACACGGAAACAGAGCTGTCAGAGGTCGCAACCATGCCCTGTATACAGTGTACTTGGGGGTACGGAGACATTTGGACTCTATCATTTTCGCTTTTGCACTAATACGCCCCAGCTTCGGCGGCAACGCCAAGTCATTCTGATCTTGAACTAGCGAATTTCTTTTTGGCACAGAAACCTCGAAGGCTATTTCACGGACACGTAACTCGTACATCCCAGGTTGGAAGCAAGGAGGTTTCAACGGCAAACCAAGCATAATGATGTGGCAGACAGAATGGCTATTAGACCGAGGCAATACTAGAACTAGTAATAATTCGAGGAACTTGGAGATCTCGAGGTGTGTGATACTTACACTGCTCTCGTGTGAGGGTGCAGTGTTTAGGAAGTCCAGGGGGGGATTACGTATGTCACAAGGAGGTTGGCAGTGATTTCGCAGCTTGATGTCGGAGGTACCCGACCGCAAATCAACATGCAGCCACAACCAGGTCTTGCCTCGGTTAACACCTTTCTAAAGGTGAGAATTTCCTTTTCTGATAATTGATATGAAAATTGCACATCACACATGTGTCAAATTGTGACCATGTAACTTGCAGGATTTTCCCGCTTCAAGCCTTGATCCCAACACACAATTTCCTGACAAGTAGCTTTACAAAGGTGATTGCAGTTGTCGCAATGACCACTGCATCATATGCTAGTTTTGTACTAGCTTATGCAGACCTGTCGTGCAAACATAGTACATGTATTGTCCTCGAAACTCCTCTACTGAATGCAAAGGAACGAACTGATCACCTGGGCCGGGGGTGAACGTTTGTGCACATTGCTGTCAAATTTGTGAGCTGAAAAGCAGAACTTGTTATGAGCAGACTTCTCTGTATCCGCTGTAGTTTTTTCAAAGGCTCATTGTCAATCTGCTTCTGATAGAGCTGCTTGGCTCGAAATTGTTAACAGATGCGTTGACCTCATGCAATGAGTGAAATGCGAACTGTCATTATTATTATTATTGTCAACTGTTTCAGTGTTTGACATCTCAGCCAAGAGCTTTTCTCTTCTAAGTATAGTATTTCGCTCCTGCTCTTGTAGCAGTTGAGCACTCTTGTGTGGGGTAGTGCCTTTGCTGTTTGCGTTATGCAGAGCTCACTGACTTGTCAGTTTGAGCACTCTGGCAAGGTACGTTCGGGCCTGGTTTAAAATCTGGCTTTGGAAAATTTTATTTCTCATTGCTATCAGGTTCAGCCTCATTTCCTCTGTGCTGCGCTGATGAGCCCACAAGGACGAAACAGTTCTGTCCACAGAGTGAGCACGTATAGCACTAGTTATCAGTAACTGGCCCGTCTCTCAGGAGTACAGTGATCCAAGCAGCAGTACATGTAACAGCGACTTCATTGAAGTTCATCATGGCTGCACCGCAGCAATGTCGTTTACTGATGGAACTGTTGAAGAGCGGCTGCCTTGCTGGTGTAGCACACACCACACTTCAGTAGTATTAGTAATTGTCTACGTACATAATCCCTGATCGTCTCAAAACGCGCCTAGGCACAGGTTTCTCCTTTTCTAAAAATAATTCGTTCACAACTTTCTAAGCTTCAAGTAGTCAAGACCTCTACAGAGTCAGTCAGTATCAGTCTGGGTGGATCTTACCCAATTAACTGCGCTAAGTGGGATAGTTATGCAATCTGTAACTGACTGTAGCGTTGGCACCTCTGCTGTAGTAACTAATAATTATTACTTTACTTGTGTGTGTGTACATGTGGGTTGTTGCTCAGCACAAGTTTTCCACTAGTTGAACCTGATAGAGAGAGAGAAAAAGTCGATGAACAAAGCCGTAGATGACCAGCCCATGGTACAAGTTTGCATCTTGTTTGTACTGTTAAATTTACCTGTGTGCACTATAGTTCTTGATGGAGGATCACCGAGGAACCGTCCATGCAACTCTACTCGGCGTAGTGGTAACTCATGGTAAGGCTTTGTAACACACAGTTTGAAGGTTTTCCATTATTACTATGAATAGTGTTTTAGAATTCAAGTGTTTTAGACTACCTTTATTTAAATTATACGTACATGTACATGTAGCTGGTAGCAGCAGTCATGCAGTTCCGATGATTCAGTGATGAATAGCCCTTTCCCAAAGATGCCATAATTTTTCGCAACCGTGCCAAAACAAGTGCTAATTGCTGAAATCGCATCCCTATTTTCAGAAAAAGCTCAAAAGTTGCTAATATTGCAACTCAAAATTGGAGAGTTCTTGTGCAAAAACCTACAAAAAAGGGAGCAGAAATAGCAGAGGTGCAGCGACAGCAAACTCGTATATCTCTTCCTGCAGTGAACCACCACTTTACACAGTGCCAGTAGCCTGTTGCATGTATCCTACATGTACATCATTACAGTGCACAGAAAGGGGAATGCACACTATCGTAACTACCGTTGATCTACTTAACTGTTTCTCTTAAATGAGTCTGAAGGCAGGCAAGAAATGAGCGAGCACGAGTATGCTTTTGTCCGACATGTAGTCGGTGACTTGACCTTTTGACCCCATGCCATGGGGCCAATTGCGCCAAGGTTGCGGAAAAGTTGCGAAATAGCTCTGGAAAATGAAGAAAGTTGCGAAAGCTGCGATTTCTTCCTGTTGTTGTTGTTGTTGTTGTTGTTGTTGTTGTTGTTGTTACTTTATTTTACTTCACCAGAATTACAGGCAGTAGAATGCCTTCTCACTAGACCAGGTCTAGTTCTCACAAATGATGAAGAATGTGAATGAACATGCTAAAGCTAATGAAAAACAAGAAAATTAATAGAAAAAGATGAGAAAACTTGTGTTCTATATGTTCCTAAACAACGAAAAGTTGCGAAAAAAGTGGCGAGCATCTTTGGGAAAGGGCTAGTGATGAATGCAAAGATGTATTTTCTACCAGGGGCAGGGAGTCATGATCATGGGCTTTCACGACTCCCTGCTTGACACTGTGACTGAGAAGTCCCAAGTCTCCCTGTTAGGTGGGACACATCCTGACTGTGATGATCTTTTCGAAACATCTCCCTCTCTCCAGAACGAGATTGAAAGCCTTCCTATTCACACAGGCTAGTTTTGCGACAAGACCCTTGATCAAGTATTGCATGTACATACATGTACATATTATACATAGCATGCCCAGTTTACCTCTACATGTGGAGAGCAGGTGACCTCCCCCTACTGGTTACCCAACCTAGAGGGAGATCTCCCCAGTACCGCAGACAATTAATTTGAAGTAACTTAGTTGGTTGGCAGGTCTGGACAATGGTTACTGCCTTCACCTTTTTTAATTTATTTTTTACGATACCAGCCTCTTGTACGGACAAAACGAAAAAATAGTTACTGGAGCCAATCAGAAGGTTCTCTGGCCATGGAACAGTACACTGAATACAGCGGACATGCAAACGTTCACACTGTACTGTAGGAGCTGAACAAGCCAGATTACATGAATCATTCTGGCTTGCAATATTCATTGGTCGTGAATCATTTAAGATGCAAGATCTCTTTCGTTTTGGTCAGGTGGTTCGTCACCTGTTTCCGTGGTTGCTGGGCCTCGTATTTGTGTAGGCGATCAGGGGCTTTTTCATTCCTGGATGAGTGTCGTCTACGGTCTTTGTAAACGCACCTTCCCGTTAATCGACCTACTGTACAAGTAGGGATGGTCTGGAATTTTATCTGGCTTTCTAAGTTGCGCTATGGCAAATAATGATCTGCTTTGATAGTAGTGACTGCTAATGACTTTAGATTTGCCTTCAATCATTTTTTCGATCACATTATCATCGAGTTTCAATACAATGCTTTAGTCATCAAAAAAAACCCAAGGAGTATGTCATGTACATGTAGGTCTACATAATGTACAATGACAATGGAAGCGGTCCTCACCAGTGTACTAGCTCCAGTGCACCCCAGCGCTGTTGAGCCCTCTTTGCGGTGGACGGGACCACTTCCCCCTGTGTAATGTACAATGACTATGTACGAGTACAATACATGACTGTACTTGTACTTGTCATCATCGCAATGCTCTCACTGTTCACTGTTCACACACGAGAGTGACTACAACTACAATGTGGTGATTTCCAAGAAGTAATACTAGAAGTTTATTTATAGTCGTGTCGACGTGTCGCAACAACATTCAAACGGAACATACATGTACACCTGTAAGTAATTATATGCACGTGGCATGACTACTTACTTCATTTACATGACTAGTATCTAGCCGTGACTACACGTTACTTCCAAGTTCCAAGTACATGTACCAGTACTGCAGTACAGTTTTAGTACTGCAGTGTGGGAGATCAGATCACTCTCTGATACGCATTGCCATTGGTGACAAATCTGAGACACAATCATGATGGCTTTACTAGTAGAAAATAATGGTCATCACAGCATGTGGCACATACTCTAACATCGCTTCTGTGAGGAGGAGTGCAGTGTCCCGACGCATCACTCAACCAGAAGCATTTTTGTGACAATAATAAAGTACCAAGACAAACCAGAATGAACCTGAGGCTGTGTGCATGTGCTGCATGCAGAAACAGTCCGTCAAAAATGACAGAGAACCCTTTGGTCAAGTGCTGAGGGGATTTTCCTGGGAACTTTTCAAGGGGCATTCTTTCATAATGGGATAGCTGGCACGATCTTAGCTGCCACTGCAGTACAGTGTCATGATGCAGTAACCTTCTAGAACAATTCTGTTTGGTGGATGTCAGAACCTTGAGGATCATGATTATTCACAATCCTTGCACACAGCCGGTACATGTAATGCATTGCCTGTGTGTGTGGTCACTGTGGCGCGGCCATATACATGTACATGTACATGACCTCAGCAACTGTAATTAAAATTTAATACTATTGATGATATAGCTACTGTACTGGGCACAATCATACATAATAATTGTTATAGTACATGTGTAGTACTCGCAGAACGTCTTTCTAGGCGCTAGGCGGAGGCTCCACTTCAGCCATACATAAGTGTATGTACATGCCGCACTATCATTAGCCATCTGAAACAAGAGCAAACCAAAATACTTAGTGAAGATGACCATGTGTCCTCCCTCCTGTTCTCCTCCTAGAACCTCCTAGATCCTGACAGATGCACATGAGATAAGAAGGAGAGCAACACTGGTTCGGTGTAGTTGCCACTGATGCCTGGATGATGGCTGGATCTGCTTGCTATGTGTACAAAGACGAAAACTAGGTTATGTGCACAGTGAAACCTGTTGTGTGTGTCTAAGACGACCGCTCAAGGGACCTTCAGAACGTGGTCTCTGTTACCAGGTGGTCTCCTTATCCAGGGTCGTTTGACTGGAAATACATAGCATCCTTGGACCTTGGTCCTGGTTGTAATGGTCTTCTTGGACAGGTGGACCTGGTGGGCTTATCCGAGTGGTCGCCTTGACAGGTTTTACTGTACTAAGAGAAAGAAGACACAGAGATAAGAAGGTTCTTTGACTTTGGTACCTCAGAGGCTCAGTACCAATGCATTCTGCACTGTCTGTTTGCACAGTGTGGTACTGTGGATATCAATCACTGTAAGACATGTATATTATAACGAGGAAGCAAATCTAACGTTTTAACGGATGACATTTCTTCGTTATAATAAGATCCGTTGAGGCCGTACTGCTTCATAATATTATGCTGTGTGTGGATATGGCAGAATACTGCAAGATCGTTAACATATCTTCTCGTTAACCTATGAATTTTGGACAATCGTTAAATTTGCGACTCGTTATAATAACATGTCTTACAGCATGTCACAGAAAGAAACACCAGCTACATCATGTACTACTAGATCTACATGTACATGGCAGTACATGGCAGTACATGGCAGTACATGGCAGTACATGGCAGTACATGGCAGTACATGGCAGTACATGGCAGTACATGGCAGTACATGGCAGCACATAACTGTACCCATACAATGTAAATCGTGTAGTCATAGTCATTGTGCACCACGTGTCCACGTCCATTGCTATCCAAGAATCAAGATTAGATGACATCCTAGACCTGGCCATGGCCTAGACTAGATCAACGGATTATGAACCCATGCCCTCATACATGTACATGTACCGAGGACTGGCAGATCAGCGCTTTTCTCATGACCTTCACATCAGCCTTCAGCCGTTCAGGCCACACCATGGTGTAGTAGTACTACTACTAGTAGATCTACTTGTAGTGCCAGTACTACTACTAGTAGTAGTGCTCTCCTCGCCGCGCCCTCGGCGATGAGCCGCTTCCAGTGGTACAGGGGTACAGTGGTAGATCTGCACGGTGTGCATGCTCTCCTCTGGAATCCGGAAATTGACTTTCAAAATTATTCCTTACTGAAAGTGAAAGGCAGAGCAACCCATCTGGATCACGGTTACCTGGATACCGTTGCTGTAGCACTGTCACTGGTTATCTACCTGCCACAATAAGCAAATGGCGGTTGTGTGTATGTTCCTACAATATGTAGATCCTATTGCCAGTGTTGGTCTGATCAGTAAGACTAGGGCACTGAGTCTGTCCCCGATAGGCAGGAGCGCTGCTGATTTCGTGCTGGGTCGCAGATCCTTCTTATGCAACATACCATGTAGATGCAGCAATGGAACTGACGGATGATTTGAACTTTGCCCTTTGAACTCTGCCAATGTAGAAGAATATCAGCATTCTACATGTAGGATCGCAACAATGCATACATCAGCACGCCAATCTACAAGGCTGTGTAGGTCGATGAGTAGATCTACTGACTACAGTTTCAATTTTGTGTCCGTTGACGTGTTGTAGAGTAGACTCTACATAAGAATTAAAGTCATGGCATCTTCCAGGAGATATTGCACCCAACTTATCCCAAGGCGGGCCTCCACGATACACACAAACAAGAAGGAAACGCTAGGCTCAAGATGAAAGACAAAATTAGTTCCAATGCCAACCCCGGAAATCACGTTCTCGCCCGCACTTGTTTGAGGCTAGTACGCTGCGAGTTCGCTACAGTGTTCCCTCGTTCCCAACATCAGCTATCGGCGGTACACGAAGGACTTGCACAAAGCAAAATACGTCTAAGTCACCGGTAGCATTGCAGAAAAATTGGCTCCTCGTCCTTAGCAATGGCTAAGCAATAGCTGCCAGTTCCTTGCAGGTCCTACTGAACTCTGGTCTCAGGGATCTCCATAAGTCTTGCGCTTTCCTTGAGTGGGGACTGAACCCGGCAAGGTAACTGGAAGTTCTGTCAGTCCACGCCACCACCGGAGCAGCAGATGCAAAGTCCTTGAAGAGGCTTTGAAGAGGCCTGGATTGACGGGCAAACACCTCAACGCCGGCCTTGCAGTAGACGAATAGTAGCGATTCCAAGCAGACAGAGCATTACTAAAGTGCCGACTGCCAGATTTGTTCCATCACTTTGGCTCATGACTGTTTAGCTTCTGCTCAAGGACTATCTCCGGATTTGATGTACACGCTCTGAAAAGTGTGCTGTCACCGCTAATAATTTTTGTCCCAGCCCACGAAGCGTGCACTGCGCAAAGACGTTCATAACAAGCAGAAGCAAATGTACGTTACTTAGAGACCGCCGAGCGAAAAGCGAAGGAGGAAAGAACGACGGATGCAGAGTTGAAGCCGGACATGAGCTTTTGTGTTTGCTCGTGGTCCTCCGTTGCCGTGCCTGTCTTGTCACGAGACGCTGCATCAGCATAGCAGCACTGGATACGAGACATTGCATCAGCATAGCAGCACTGGATACGAGTCTGGGTGTCTTCCTGAGGCTTTCTTCAAAACATTGAGAAAACTGAGTTTTACCGTCTGGATACGCACTTCGTCCTGATGTTGTTGCCAACGAGGCTGATAACGGAGCACAACCTCCAGTCCTGACAATGCCTTCCAGAACTGTGTGGACCGCTTACGCTATCAAGGCACCGCCGGTCGGATCAAGGGTAAGTGCGAATCAATACTAGTAGTAGTACTCACTTGTAATTGCTGTTCGTACTACACGTTGTAGTTGACTGCTTGAGTGTTGACTCTCCGACAACTGCAGTTCAAAGCTCCATTGCAATGCAGCCCGGGCGTGTAGCAAGATTTGGTAATGGCAGCCACTGAAGAAACTTACCTCCAGGGTAATCATTGTGGGTGTGCCAAGATATGAGAGGGAACATCCTGGCTACCATTGGCATACTGGAATTCTTTTGCATAAGTTGTAGCTGAACCTAGAGACATGTAGTGGTAATGCTGTGGGAGTTAAATACGCACTCTACTTACGAGAGAGCTCACTGTGCATTAGCTATTGCTCATCTACGGCCTACATTGGTGTCGAATGAGATACAAACTTGATACAGACTTGATACAAACTTGATATAGACTTGATACAGACTTGATACAGACTTGTCTTTTCCTTGGTACAACAACCTGCACAGTGCAACCTGGTGTCATGGTGACAGCCGTCATTGCAACGCAATACCTCAGGAGAGCTCTTTACTTTATTGGACACTATCGTAGTGTCCGTAACCCAAAATCCAATAAAAGAGAGAGAGAGAGAGAGAGAGAGAGAGAGAGAGAAAGAGAGAGAGAGAGAGAGAGAGAGAGAGAGAGAGAGAGAGAGAGAGAGAGAGAGAGAGAGAGAGAGAGAGAGAGAGAGAGTGAGAGAGAGAGAGAGGGGGAGAGGGGGAGAGAGAAAGAGAGAGGGGGAGAGAGAGAGAGAGAGAGAGATAGAGAGAGAGAGAGAGAGAGAGAGAGAGAGAGAGAGAGAGAGAGAGAGAGAGAGAGAGAGAGAGAGAGAGAGAGAGAGAGAGAGAGAGAGAAGGGGAGAGAGAAAGAGAGAGAGAGACAGAGAGAGAGAGAGACAGAGAGGGGAGAGAGAGGAGAGAGGGAGAGAGAGAGACAGACAGAGAGACAGAGAGACAGAGTTAGTAGTGTGCACAACAAGGTGCGAACGGAACAATAGTGACCTCAGTCACCCTCTCCATTGTACTCAGATGTCCTCTATGGTTGTTATGAGCCCTCTGATTCTCTAAAAGTGTTAGGAACGAACGACCACACGGCACGAGGACAACTATTGCATCTTAACGGTATATTTCACTCCGATCGAATATAATAGCTAACACGAAGATCACCAGCTATTCTTATAGCATGCAAATGACAGCTCACATCAGAAAAAGCATACACATAATATTATAACATACATGACAGCGAATGCAGTAAATCGCACATAGCGCATATAGCGTATAGCATGCAGTAAACATCAGCTAGCGGTACGGCGGAGTCGAAATGCAACATTGAAACGAACACAATGTCATCAGCGAGAAGGCCTTTCACAGTTGAAGACTTGTGGTTTGTAACAATGGTAGCATAAAAATTTGCAATGGCTACCTTGAACCGTCCACTCTTTCCTAACATGCATCATGGTCAGTAGGAGACACGCTCTACAAAGTCATCCAGTTTTAGACTAGTCACACAGCAATGAAACAACCAAGTCATTCGAATGGACAGCGAGCACTACGCTGAGCCTGAGGACTTAGTCATTCCGTCACAAAGGGGAGATTACGGCAAAAACTGGGACATTTCAGGAGTATCAATTATTTGTAGCCAAAGCAGCAGCATGTTGCATTGCCCATTGGCCGCCCTCTTCCAAAATCGACAGTGCCACTGTACACAATGGGAGATTTACCAACACCATTGTGGAGGGGGCAGTAAGTACATTATAGCGGGCACTGAAGAATCAGCTTCTGTGCTGATTCCGGGATTGGGTCGAGGGTAATTGCTGAGTGTGAAGTAATGCTCTAAAATGTTGGTCCGCATTCCAGGAGAGGACAAACAGGCAGGCACAGTGGGTTGGTCTAAGACCATGATTGAGAAACGAGAGGTACCAGGTTCAAGTCCTGCTTGGAAGCGGAACGATTTTTTCCAACCGTGCTGCGACCCACAGTTAATTGGGAACTCGTGGCCTGGCATGAGTAATACATGGATGTGGCAAATGGGATCGAGGCCTTTGGCCTCTGGTTGGTGGATCTGATCTATCCTCCCTCACCGTTTAGGAGCCGCATCTGACGCCTGATCATGGAGTGGTGGCGTCCCACGGAAGCGGAAAGGTGGTTCTTGACCAGGGAGTTATACGACTCCTTGTTCTTGACCTGCCCGGTACGCGAACCCAGTCGAATTTATTTATTTTATTTTACAAAGTGGATGAAAATATTTGGTAGCTGTGAAACAGTCGCAATACGTGGAGCATTCTCTTTGGCCTAACTCCACCGCGGTGTGTTGGCTTACATTCAGTGGTGTCCGCTCCCTAAACAGTTGTAAGGTCTTCTGGTCTGTGGATTAAATTATCTCCATATCTTCACCATTTGGCATATGGCCTAAGGTCCAGGTCACTATCCCCTTTTGGCTAATGTTTTCAGAGGTTTGTGTACTCATCAACCTCTTCAGGGTAGTTGGCTACACCAATCCAAGGTGCACACAACAAAAACATGTGGCTGCAAATCGATTGGATGGGCATTGTGCCCGTGCATTCACTTCGTGTGACAGTGCAATATTGGAAATTGGAAAAAGGGTCAACTGTTTCCCCTTCCCACCACCCGCTCCAATTGGTTATTCTGGCAGGTACCCTGTCAGTGGATTTGAAAACCTGGTTCAATAACTGTGACTTCTTGTAAAACTAGCCGTATCTCCAATTATAATCCACACTCCGTCCATGGCTTAATGTAATTGTTAGAATCCATGTTATGGCTATCATGTGTGTGCAGTAGGGGACAGCTCATAACCGAAATACACACCGCCGATAACGATCTAAACTCAGATCCGCAAGTCATCAAGCAGTGTGGTAGATAGGAAGCCTAAGGGGTTAGTACAGAAAAACACTCTTCTGCAGGCCGTCACAGACATTTGAGGTATTTGAGCGCTCAACCGCGTGATGATTAGCCATGCTGGAAAAGTAATGAAGAAAGGATTTTTGCAGAGGAATGACCGTTGAGTGTGCGTTGACAATGAGTTGTGTGTACCAGGTATTCCATAATGGATTCTCCAGTGGTATTTGGATTAGGGGATACATATCGAGGGAGTCTCCAAAGTACAATAATGAACAAAATTAATGATTGTACATGTAACTTGTTTTACAGACATTGCTTTTGGCTTCTTTTTCGTTGTACTCAGTGTACTTGTACTAACACTTGATTATGTACAAAACATTATAGTTTATGCTTTACAGATAGTATTGCTGTTGCTGTAGTGTGCGTACAATGTTGCCAATGAACATCAACCACTGTGGCAGTTTTACTGTTGTCGCCACGTGTGTGATGTAGGAGGGACGAGACTATTGAAATTAAGTTGCTGTTCTTTTTTCCAAGGTATCTGATTTGAAAGAATAGAGAGAGCTCGTTTACATGCCAGTCTTCTGTCACCATTTGGATTGACTCCAACTTCAGTCCAAGGACCTCTTAGAAAGCAGGAGTATCTCTTGCCAATGAATATGTTTCCACTTAGGCTGAAAGTCACTTTTCCTGGTTGATTATGGCTAAGGTCCTAGCAACGCAAAAGCGGTTCTCTTTCCACTTGCACTGGATGAGACTCCAGAGTTATGTTGCAGGTGCCTTTGTGACCTGCCTGTCTGCCTGTCTGACCTGGGCAGGTGTGTCGTGACCACACAACTTCACAAGTACAAGTACTCATTAGCTTAGTAGGGCCGCTACTGCATTACCACAGTACACTGTACCATGCCATGGTGTACTGGGACCAGGACTGGGACAAGTACATGTACATGTACTTGGACTAGAACTGCTGTGATTCTGGTTAGTGCATCCCGGCATTGGTCCTGTGTCCAGGCCTTGGACAGTGTGTGAGCGGCATTCATTCAAGGCAGCACACTGATGTCAATGATCCTGATTGTTCACATAAAGAGACTATAAGTGCCTGTTCAAGTGAACCATTCCCCTCTGCTCCCAAAGGCAGGCTGTGATGGCCTAATCTATCTTCCCTCTTTGAGGTACACCTGCAGGGAAATTCCCCAGCTAGCCTGATGGATCAGACTCACCATGCCTGAGCAACTATCGAATTCTCTGTCAAAACCGGCAAATGACTCTACGTGACATTATCATTTTGCACATAATGACTTCAAATGTTAACGATTAAAAAAAACCATTACTGGTCTAACAGTGCCCTATTCTCCTTGGCTCCTTTCTGTCACAGGGTAGCTGGCGCATCCGTTACTTTGTGCTCACTATCATCTCCACAGGGACCGGCCAAGATTTCTTGAGACTATGCTACTACACTCATCACAGTGGATATGAGCAGCAGCCGCCCAAAGGAGAGGTACCGCTGTTGGACATCAAGACTAGCAGAGTGGCTAGGGTTTCACGCGTTCTCGACCACCAGTATCACAAGATCTGCTCGATCAACACTACCGATAGGACATACTACTTTGCAGTCAAAACTGAGTAAGCGCTGTTCCATTCTCTGGTGTGTCAAACGCTATAGAAGCACAATTTGATGCATGCATTTTTGTGGACTGCACTCTCTCCCTCACTGAATACCATTGTGGTTGGAATCTCAAGTGGTCATTTCAGAAATGACTAAAAGTAGGTACAGTCTGTGTGCAGAGTAAACGGATAGGGGTGAGCAATGGGGTAAGAGGAAAGGGATAGGGGTGAGCAATGGGGTAAGAGGAAAGGGATAGGGGTGAGCAATGGGGTAAGAGGAAAGGGATAGTTTGGGAGAGAACAGTCTCTTAGACATGCAGCCCTCTTGTCCCAGCAGCCTGTTTGGATTCACAGGAAACGTGGCTGCTTGGATGACAACTACACCATAGCTTGTGGTAGAGCACTGCTGGCTTAAACGAGAGTCCCTAGTTGGATTCCGGGTGGTGACAGTCAATTTGTTCTTCATACTATTCCCATTTACACCTTTCGTTCAAACTGATGAATGTTGAAAATACTTTGGCTTTCGGCATCAAGAACAAAGTTGCACCCAATGAACAAGAGGGGGTGGAGGTGGATGGGTTAAACACTAAGATGAAAGTCCTTCAGGAATCTTAGAGACTCAGCCTGGATTGCTTTATTTAAAGTAATCTGGACAAGTATTTTAAGACTTGAACTCTATGAGTGCTTGTCCCTGCCCCACCCTCTTCGTCACAGTTTCTATTTCCTCCTCTAGTCGCCATTCAACCTCTCTCTCTCTCACCCTCTATCCACTTTGGTACATTCCAGGAAGCCATGGACTCTTCCAAATCAAACAGAAGTTTACCATGCACCTTCCTCAAATCCGAGCATGCGCATGATCTTGCTGCTCAGGACCTGAATAAGAGCATGATTGGTGACACTCACTAGGAGACTGTGAGGCAGGAGAAAATTAACATGCTCTTAACTGCAAGCAGAGAGGGGCACAAACACGCACCGTCTGCAACACAAACACTTGTCAAGCCTACCCGTACCTTTCATCCTGCAAACCATACATGAGGATTCCGAGGCTGTCGGGCATGAAGGCTCTGTGTCAAACACACCTTATCTTGATCCCTGCTTCCGAAACATTCTCTCCAAACGTACCCCAGTCTACTCTATTCCAGTCTACTGTGCCCCATCAACCATACCCCATCAACCATACCCCATCAACCATACCCCATCAACCATACCCCATCAACCATACCCCATCAACCATACCCCATCAACCATACCCCATCAACCATACCCCATCAACCATACCCCATCAACCATACCCCATCAACCATACCCCATCAACCATACCCCATCAACCATACCCCATCAACCATGCCCCATCAACCATACCCCATCAACCATGCCCCATCAACCATACCCCATCAACCATACCCCATCAACCATACCCCATCAACCATACCCCATCAACCATACCCCATCAACCATACCCCATCAACCATACCCCATCAACCATACCCCATCAACCATACCCCATCAACCATACCCCATCAACCATACCCCATCAACCATACCCCATCAACCATACCCCATCAACCATACCCCATCAACCATACCCCATCAACCATGCCCCATCAACCATACCCCATCAACCATACCCCATCAACCATACCCCATCAACCATACCCCATCAACCATACCCCATCAACCATACCCCATCAACCATACCCCATCAACCATGCCCCATCAACCATGCCCCATCAACCATACCCCATCAACCATACCCCATCAACCATACCCCATCAACCATGCCCCATCAACCATGCCCCATCAACCATACCCCATCAACCATACCCCATCAACCATACCCCATCAACCATACCCCATCAACCATACCCCATCAACCATACCCCATCAACCATACCCCATCAACCATACCCCATCAACCATACCCCATCAACCATACCCCATCAACCATACCCCATCAACCATACCCCATCAACCATACCCCATCAACCATACCCCATCAACCATACCCCATCAACCATACCCCATCAACCATACCCCATCAACCATACCCCATCAACCATACCCCATCAACCATACCCCATCAACCATACCCCATCAACCAGGCCTCAATCTACTATGCCTCGCTCCACCCTACCCCATTACGGTATCATTATGTTACCCCGGTCCACCATGCCCCAATCTACCCTGCCCCAATCCACATTGGCGCAATACATGACAAGTCTCTGCTGCTCTTGTTCTGCCCCCCGCTAACACCCGATATGGCTTTAGTGCAATTTCTTATTTGGGCGCTGCCAGGTGGAATACACTTCCACCGGCTTGCCGCATGTCTAGTTCACCAGCTGAATTTCGCTCATCCATCAAATTATACCTAGGGTTCCCTGTAAAAAGGCGCTGACGCCTGTTGGGAATTCCCTAGTAAAAGAAGAATAAATAATAATAATAATAATAACATGATGCCCCAATCTACCCTGTCTCAATCCACCGTGCCTCAATCCACACTGTCTCAATCCACCCTTCCCCAATTCGCCACGCATCAATTCACCCTGCCCCATTCTGCCCCAATCCACCCTGCCCCAATCCACCCTGCCCCAATCCACCCAGCCCCCAATCCACCCTGCCCCAATCCACTATGCCCAAATCCACTATGCCCAAATCCACCCTGCCCCAAATCCACCCTGCCCCAATCCACCATACCAATGTGAGTGCGCTATTATAGTCATGAGATCCCCATCATTCACTGGATTAGGGGCAGGTGCCAGTGCCATAAAAAGTAACTGAGACATGCGTATTCGGGTTTGAGACTACAGGTCGAGAGTCGGTGTGCCTGATACTTGTTGCTGCCTTGCTCAGGAACATAATGACGATGTTATTTGATTGCCTCAAGCGGTATTTGCCGGTGAGTTGACAAGTGTTGATTACACGCATACTGTAGTGTTGTACTTTGCCTTGCTGTTGATATGACGACAAGTTATCTACACAGTGTGACTCCCAGTGTGTGTATGACTTCCTGCCAAGTATGCATAGCTCACAATCATAATATGGGGACAGTGACCAGAGATTGCAAAATCATCTGTGACCTTTACATACAGTTCGTACATATACAGCCACCAACTGGTGTCCTTCCTGTGAAACACCAGATATTATCTAGTCTACTTGAAAACATTTTCCTGACTGAGACATACAGTAGAGTATAAACATTTCCCTCAGACGTACAGTGTAGTGTTGTTCTGTCTCTCTGATTGCTCTCTGCAGGAATGTATTAGCAATGAGGTGACGTTTGTCCGAGGTGTCAATCTCTCTAGGAAACGTAAGCTTAGTGATAGATTAGAACACACACACACACACACACACACACACACACACACACACACACACACACACACACTTATTGAAGAGGCACCTGAGTTCCGAAGAGTAGTTAGAAACATTATGACTAATGAGGGCTTCCTTTTTCTTTGTAAACAGCTACTGACTTGAATGGAGACTTGACTTGCATCTATCTCATTCAATGATAATGACCTTACTACTTGGAGCCGGTATAGTGAGTCGCAGGCTCACGGCAAAGCGCTGCACTTGCACTAGCGACACACGCTGCATGCTTAGCACCCATTAGAAAATCCACCGTGAAATCATCCGCATAACCCGCTCTGTATCAGGAGATCGGGAAGGAAGCGTTTCTATGCTATTCTCTAGCCATGCATTGGATCAAGTTTAAATTATTGTTTTGACTTTACCGCCATGTACAAAATGCATGTCGATGGCAAACGCGTGTCGTCCCATTCCCTCCGCACAGGATACTGTGCAGCCATTTCCTCACAGTGTCAATAGTCTGTGCGGAAACTTCCATTAAGTTGTCAGCATTTCACGTTTAATTCTGTTGCTGCAGTTGTTTCTGTCAGTGAGATACCGGATGATCCGTCTGATATTCCTGTGGTTGATGTCACTGCCGCTTCCAAGGTATGCATTTTCAAGGGCTTGCACAGTACTGTTAGAGGAGTAGACAATAATGTTATCTTCATGTCCATAGTCGACCGTAAATAACCGGAGAGAGGTACAGCTGAGGACCCTCCGCTATGCTTGGTCCTTCCCCAAATGTACTTGATGTACATGTAGGTCATCAAAGAGAGCTATTAGCCACCTATTAGCTGTGTGTGTCATGGGTGAATGCCTGCGCATGCCTGGCGCGTTGCTGCTCATTACAGCTGGATATCACCAAGAATCCATGAGTGTGCAGCTCTGATGGATAGCTGTCATTCCGTGATTACATCATTTTAGTGATGTAGTGCGTACAAGCAGGATTCAAGCAGGTCTCTTGCTGCACAACTGCAGCTCAGTTGTAAGCCACATCCCGCCTCAGATCTGCACCAAATGTGATGTACTGTAAAACGGGTAACTATTGCGACGTAATAATGTTTGCGAATTTTGCGAGAGGCCCCGAATCGCAAACCTTTAACAACGCAAACTCGCGCCATGTAATGTTCAGTGCAAGGACCGACTCGACTGTGTAGAACGACTGTAGAACGACTCGCAAACATTAAACAGCGCAAACCAGTCTCAATTTGTAAAACGCAAACATTTATTGTCGCAAACGTTACCCGTTTTGCAGTAATCGCGGATTTTTGCCGTGTCAGACAGCCATGCAGAAAACGTCAGAAGCTGTACACTCTGGGTTCAATGTACTCTTGATATTACACATGTGTTGTACATGTGGTCGCGCTTGTAGCTCTTTGTCGTACATGTGGCTGCGCTTGTGTCTCTTTTGTCGTACATGTGGCTGCGTATGTGTCTCTGTGTCGTACATGCTGCTGACCCGTGGTACACGCCGCTGCGCTGTCTTGGAATGCTTAGTACATGCCGCTGCACCGTCTTCTGTCCCCTCCGTATGCATTATTTATCATCTCGTCCCCGTTGCATACACATTTTCTCGTCTTGTCTCCGTTGTATTTGTCTGGTTGCCGTCTTGTGTCCGTCGTATTTCCCCGTCGTTCGTCTTTGTCTCCCGTCCTGTTCAGGCCTTGTTGTACTTTGCACAGGCACCTTTTTAGTATCCCTCACCCCACTTTTTCCCCTCTTTTCTCCACGTCCCCATAATATATTCTCTTGTCCGTTTTGTTGGAGCGCAGTTCTCCAGTCCCCTTACTGAAAGCAAGTTCGAGAAAACGCTCTCTCTCCCAGTGTGCACGAGTCTTTTGTTGTTGTGTGGAGTGGCGAGGAGAGCAACAGTTGGTCGGATTAAACTGACGACACATGTGTCTGTCTCTCACGTGATCAGTCCTATCTCGACCGTCTGGACGCGCACACATACACATAAACATACGCATTAAAGCATTGTGGACCATAGCTGACGAAAAGCACCACTATTTGTAACGTCTTTTGCATAGCTACGGGATGGCATTTTTTGGAGCAGTATCTTGTTATAGGAGGTATGGCTTACCGTCTGCCGTATATATGCTATTGTTGGAAGCCTACTGAGTGGAGGTATTAGGCAGGTGTCTAAAATCCTCAAGCTGTGTATAGGGCTTGATACTGTCTGATCAGTGCTTGCAACTCTGGGCAACAGGGAAGTAGTGCTGGAGTGCTTTTTAAAAGGAGTTCACATGCCGGGCCGGGCCGGGCTGGATGGATGATGGCGGGTGTACCTAGTGTTTTATTTCCCTCTCACTTACTGCCGTAGGAATCGTCCTCTAGGCGAAGAAAGGCATTTGGACAAATGAGATCACAAACTCTGCCATCACCACAGGTGAAAGAGGGTTTGGCAGGTTCTACCCTGGTAAGACCAATGCTGACTTTGTCCAGGACATGACATCATAATGTAGAACGTAGCGGATTATTATCATTATTATGTATTCACATTTTATTAGGGCAGTCCCCACAGACTCAAGGTCTTCTTACGGGGTGCCCTAATCACTGCAACCCATACTCAAAAGCGGAATTTAAGGTCGAATGCAAATTTACAAAAAGTAAAAAGTTTCTGAAATGCACACAGCAACTCTACGGTAACAGGCATAATACACTTGGCAGTGATGTAATAGGCATAGCAATGACATAGTAGTGATGTAATAGGCATAGCAATGACATAGTAGTGATGTAATAGGCATAGCAATGACATAGTAGTGATGTAATAGGCATAGCAATGACATAGTAGTGATGTAATAGGCATAGCAATGACATAGTAGTGATGTAATAGGCATAGCAATGACATAGTAGTGATGTAATAGGCATAGCAATGACATAGTAGTGATGTAATAGGCATAGCAATGACATAGTAGTGATGTAATAGGCATAGCAATGACATAGTAGTGATGTAATAGGCATAGCAATGACATAGTAGTGATGTAATAGGCATAGCAATGACATTGCAGTGATGTAATAGGCATAGCAATGACATAGTAGTGATGTAATAGGCATAGCAATGACATAGTAGTGATGTAACAGGCAACACAATGACATAGTAGGCTTAGCAACAGTTATAACAACATAGTGCGCATAGGAAGCAAGAGCACTGTTCAATTTTAAAATTAGGGGTGTCATCGGGTAGTAGGGTACCCGTGCTACCCGTAACTAGAGCGGCGGGTATTAGGGTAGCAGTTTGCTCAAACCCGATCATGCAGTGGAAGTACGGTGTTTTCGCACCTGTATGTAAAAAGAACGGCTATGTGCTTACGGTACACTTTCTATGTAGCGCAAGTGCACACTCATTGTCCAAACTATGTCAAAACAATACCCGGGCCGATAGGGTACCCGTGCTTCCCGAATAGAAATACCTAAACACGTTGCCCGACCAAACCCCTACCTGTTGCAGCCCTATTAAAAGTCCTCTCTGCCTCTTCCTCTCTGCAGAGGTTTTTTGCGATTACATAATGGAATACATAATAGACAGTGTCTTAAAGGGGCACTCCGGCTTCATTTTCGACGCCGAGTTTTCGATGCCAAGACGAAGGTAGGTGAAAGAGAAGACCCCTCGAACAAGAACGAGTCTCCAGAAGCGATCGAGTCGAGCAGGAAGACGACTTTTGAATTTCGCCGAGCGAGCGCTGATGACGTAATGAGGGATTAGCTTGCCAGTGGAAATGCATCTGCGCACGTACATTTCACATACTTTTTGGCCAATTTTCAATCGAAGAGGAGGTTGTTTTCTATGTTCTCTCAACGTCGTGAGCGATCCCGTTTTCTATACCCTTCCAGGTACCCTCAAGGTCCTCCAGAGGAGAATTTATCTCCAGCGAAGCGTTGTTGATCCGCTAAATTCGTCTCGAGACATATTCATCCAGTGCAGTGCTGATAAATGCAGAATGTTGAATTTGTGATAATTGTCGACGATGGAGAGAGAGGTTGATAGCCGCTGTCGCAGGGAAAGTGAAGCTGCTGGAAGTAACAACGGCGAGCTTGTTAGCATCACATGTGCATCCAGACTTCAAAGCAGCTTGACGGAATCGGGGAGTACTGACTATTTGTCTCGCCCTCAGTTTAGTGAATTTTATGACCAGAAAATTATTCGATCAGGATCCCTTCTACAAGATGTGTAGTACAGGTGATTTCTGAACTTGACGATATGGAGACCGACCAGTAGACCTACCAACAACGTGTACCTGCAGGAAATTCACCCAAGGCTATTGCTATCCTCTTCAGTGGCTGTTGTTTTTTAGTAAAAATATGTTCACTTCTCTCAACATACTCCTGCATGGCAGCAAGAAGGTGCGCTATGGAATTCAACGCCACAATCTTCGCCCAGCTGTGGATGAAGCATGGTCAAGTCATGGCAGTACATATACTTGAAACAGATGAGAAATTGAAGTTCATTTGTGATGGGAAGTTTGACAGCCCCAGTGACCGAGTCAAGCATTGTCTTTTGCCGTGGCACAAATTGCTGAAGAATCCGAGATGGTCTTGGAACTATGCACATGGATACTACCAGAAATAATGGTGGCATGAACCATTGTGGAATGGGACAGCTCACGGAGAATACTGGAATAGCTCAAGTATCTCTAAGTGATTGTAAATCCTGTTCTGGCTGATAGCTTCGGCCTGCTGCGCCCGCCCATGTACAATGATGGGAACATGCATTTCTGTTTTCTACATATTTGCCGACCACTGTACTGTGGTATAACAGTTGCAGGTCCCTTATATAAAAAAATACGTTCAACCCCCTCCCACATACCCACATTATAAATATGAACTAACAATTTCACTGTTGGACTCGCAGGCGGCTAGAGAGCAAAGGATTAATTTATAGCAAAGAAAAGGACCAGGGAACTACAAGTAAATTAGTTACGCTATAATGTCCATGAATAATTTCACTGTATTTGAAATAATTTTGTTTGATACCCTGAGAACTCTGAAACGTTGCACGGCTGTCAAGAAGCGGCAACTTAGAAAGATGGCGTCGGTTCGAGATGGCATGGTAACCGCGCACGTGCCGTGGTCCGTGACTTGCTCATGTATGCACGCAAATGCAAGTCACAAACTCACAAAGATCGTCTTTGCATTTGGAGAAAATATCTTCGACTCTCTTTGGAGGTTGGCGAGGTTTGCCTAATCTTTACTTGTTTGCGATGCCGGTATGTCCTCTCAATAATTAGAACAAAGAGAGCTGATGATCGCTTCATTACTGAGAAGAAGTAACAATCAACTCTCCTCATGTCCTCAGTGCCAAAGGCAGACGACTGCAATTCCACAACGCTCATTTCACGATGATGGAAACATAATCGTGTACTAGTACACACTTGGACCATTTGGTCATCCCTATTCTAGCCGCTAGTCCGTCCAGCAAGCAGATATTGACTATTACGATAAGTACAACTGCGTGAACGAGGGCTCACCCAGCAAATTCAATTCAAGACGTGACTCCAGTCAAGAATTAGGGTCTTTACTCGAGAACTTCACAAATACAGGTCAAGGCACCCCACAAAACTGATAGATGGCACGAACGAAAGACAAATAGGCTAGACAAAGTGTACCAAGTGATTGAAAACAGCAGATCTACCAAATAAGACAGCTACATGTGCCTAAACAACAATTCCCATACAGTAGAGAGTAGTATCAGGCGGAATGAAAGCCTTGGAAGTGCACAAATACAGCCACGACCGCCACAAAAATTGGACGACCGCCACAAAAAAATTCTCATTGCTCTACCTCCTTGAAGGGTGAAAGTTACCAGTTATCCTATAGCGATGTCAGTTTATGCCTGTTGGAACCCCCCACAGCCCGCACGAAATACCTTTCAAATAATTCCAGGATGCAATTGCAGCTCCAGACAGGAGGAAGAAGAACACCGTGAAAAATAACGGCAACGATGCCCAAACTCTCGGGAAACGGCTGAAGTCTTCCTGAAGATGTTAACATTGAATAGCCATCGATTACCAGCGTGGTTTGGTGACTTTAGAACTGTTTTGAGACTTAGAACGAAGCGATATCTCAAATTTGATGGAATTGTTACCTGTCAAATGCGTGGGCGAGCAGGCCAGCTGACTGGTTATGCATGAACATGCATGAGCATGCATTGATTTTTCATGGTTCACGTGCAGAAAACTAAGTTGCCGCGATCCAAGTGCAGCTAACAGCCGTGGTTGGAGCACTGTGGATTATATGTGGATACAACATTTATGGAAGGAAAAGTGGAATAATTTCTAACACATTGTTCAAATAGTTATAGCACTGAATTGTTGAGATTGTGAGCACATTCCAATCAGCACTCTACATATTTATAAGCGGTGGAAATCGTTAGGAATAGGTCGTGAGTTGTCAGAGTGCTCCAGTATATGAGAGAATGTTTTGTTTGTCTAATCGACGGCTCGTTTGAAGCCAGAGTTGTTTGAACTTGTTTCAGTCGACTTGATTCTAGATAGTAGTCGAAGGAGTACTATGAAGTACACACCACACGTAGTCCGTAAGGTATCTCGTGAGAATTCTGTCGGTACACATCAGGTATCAGCTTGGAAAGATGGATCCTCTCTGTTTCTTGAAAGCCTGTCTAGTTGGACTGTGGCTCCAGCGATTCCCTCCTCAGAGCAGATACCATACCCAATACCGTCAATGCATATTGGACAGACCTGTATGCACAACAGAAATAGTGGAGACAAATCTCTCAGCTCATGAACACGTCAGTGAAGTTTGAACTGCCGTTGTTTGTGGCCATTAGTATAAACCTATCGACTATAAGAATAATGTGCAAACAAACTTCTATAACCACAGCTGGGGCCATGGAATTATAAACTTAGGGAACTGCCAATTCTGGTCTGAGTTGCGTTCGAGGCCTGCAATTCATGATGGCTATCGTATGTTGCATTGACCAGAGATCATATTATAAAACTTCCATGCCACATTGAAACACGCACCACTTTCGAGTACTTAGGTATCCCCCACCAAATGGGCATTCGCTCTCGGGGTGGCAGGCGTCACTTTTCGTTATGCCTGGATCAGATTTCATTGACCCCAACTGTCATGAAGAATCATTTTTGCTTTGACTGGATTTCAGTACAAGTTGTAGAACTGCAGAATCAATTTCGTTGTATTTGGGCAACCATTTCACTACAAACGCTCTATTGGGAAATAGAATTTTTTATAAAATACATGTCCAAATTCCACATCTACCCAAATCGGAATACTTGATCACGTATCAGTCAGTACTACACGGAATGTTTAGAAAACGCCAGGGAATAGGAATTTGCTAACGAGAACTCCAGGCCAGGGTACTAGCAATAGCATACGAACAAAACAAGATACCCAATGCTAACAAAACAAGATAAAAACTCACCAGTGTACTTGTAGTAATTCATGTCGGTGTAATATTCACGATAAGCACCGAGGCACCCTCCGATTTGGTCAAGCTGCTTTGAAGTGTGGTTGTTCAGGTGATACAAACGGGCTCCCCGTTGTTACTTCCAGCAGCTTCACTCTCCCTGCGACAGCGGCTATCAGCCTCTCTCTCTCCATCGTCAACAATTATCACAGATTCAACATTCTACATTTATCAGCACTGCACTGGGTGAATATGTCTCGAGACGAATTTAGCGGATCAACAACGCTTCGCTGGAGATAAATTCTCCTCTGGAGGACCTTGAGGGTACCTGGAAGGGTATAGAAGACGGGATCGCTCACGACGTTGAGAGAACATAGAAAACAACCTCCTCTTCGATTGAAAATTGGCCAAAAAGTATGTGAAATGTATGTGCGCAGATGCATTTCCACTGGCGAGCTAATCCCTCATTACGTCATCAGCGCTCGCTCGGCGAAATTCAAAAGTCGTCTTCCTGTTCGACTCGATCGCTTCTGGAGGCTCGTTCTTGTTCGAGGGGTCTTCTCTTTCACCTACCTTCGTCTTGGCATCGAAAACTCGGCGTCGAAAATGAAGCCGGAGTGCCCCTTTAATAGACAGTGTCTATTATGTCAATTGCATAGCAGGCTTGGGACCGGTGTGCAAGGCACAGTAAATGCAATCTTGGCAAGGCATGTGAATGCCGGGATAGATAATGACAAGGCACACTTCTCTTCAGTAGTCTTTGCTGCCGATTATACTCACTAGTCTCTAGTCGGCCTGCTTCTACTCCTGCTTCTAGTTGCCCTGTTGGTACACTGCAATGCAGTAAACATTTTTTAAAGATACAAAAATAATCGAATGGCCTGTAACATTCGCTAAGGCTGGCGCTGTGTACAGCGTGAAAAGCAGGTCAAAATGCAAGCATGGCCGCACTTCTCTTGTGATTGATTCTTCCTGGTTTGTTGGAAATTTTGGATACTGGCTCATGTGCCCCCTCCCCCCCCCTCCATCCCTAGAACTCACTTTCTAGCAAGCATTTGTATTGAACCACAAGATGAACTTCACATCACATATGCAATACTTGCCGTGTTCTTTCATACTTTGACACTTGCCCTGGTGAGCTTTGTACGTGCCTGGACATTCCTTCCACAGGACATGTCTAGTGGATCACGGCCTTTGCCAAGCACTGCATCATCTGGGACTCTGAGGTCTCTTCTGCCAGTATCACCGGAGAAAAGCAGGACTGCTTCAGTAGCACAGGTAAGCACGTGACACTGTGCTAGCTAGTGACACATCAAGTACATACAGCTACTCAATGCTGTTCTAGTTCTCACTCGAACTATTAGTTAGATACTATGGTTAAGTTTACCTATTATTTATTATTATAAGCACTGTCGCGATGTAAGCGGGGATGCCTACTTCACTTGTGCCATTCAGGATGATATAAAGAGAAAGACAAACAGAAAGCTCAGAATCTTGAGGAACAATGCTGTAGAGCAGAATAGCTGTGATCGATTGGATGCACTACAGAAAGGTGAAAAGTTGACCTTAGGATTCGATAAAAGCTCATCATCTCGAACATGTGGCCAGTGTGGTCAGTGTGGCCAGTGTGGTCAGTGTGGTCAGTGTGGTCAGTGTGGTCAGTGTGGCCAGTGTGGTCAGTGTGGTCAGTGTGGTCAGTGTGGTCAGTGTGGCCAGTGTGGTCAGTGTGGTCAGTGTGGCCAGTGTGGTCAGTGTGGTCAGTGTGGTCAGTGTGGTCAGTGTGGCCAGTGTGGTCAGTGTGGTCAGTGTGGTCAGTGTGGTCAGTGTGGTCAGTGTGGTCAGTGTGGTCAGTGTGGTCAGTGTGGTCAGTGTGGTCAGTGTGGTCAGTGTCATTCAAGTCAGACTACATAGTCACAGTCACTAGCATGTCTTGTGTCATGTGATCCGCACAGTCACAAGGCAAGAGTCACCCAGAAGTCAAAAGTAAGGGGCAGCAGCCACATGACTGCCGTCACATGACCACATCACAATGAGAAGGTGGCCAGTAGTTGCATGCAGACTGGGAGACCGGGGACGCTTTTAGATAGGGAATTGTTATATTGAGTTAGCTGTTGATCGATAATTAAAATCTGTGCAACACCCAGTGGCTCGTTCCGTGTAGTGAAACACCCAGTGGCTCGTTCCGTGTAGTGAAACACCCAGTGGCTCGTTCCGTGTAGTGAAACACCCAGTGGCTCGTTCCGTGTAGTGAAACACGATCCCAAAATAATACTGTGAAGTAGGTGTGAATATAATACCACGCACCCGTGCACATGTGCACACACACACACACACATACACACACACACACACACACGCACGTGTGCGCACACACACACACTTACTACCACATCGTATTTCACAACCATCTTCTACGATAATTGTACTGCAACTGCGAGGGGAAAGAGGAAACAAAGGATTACATGTGCACACAAGTGTGACAAGAATGCATTGATCAGGTGAACGAGAACAGACAAAATGTACCTCCAAGCTAACATGACTGGTGGACCCGCTCGGGTTGGTCTCATCCTAGTGCGACCAAAATCCCCCCCCCCCCCCTCCCCTTTTCATCATGTCCTTCAAAGTAGTCAATCAGCACGCTCAGGGGTCATGATGGCAAGCTTCATCCATCATGACTGACGGACAGCGCGTGCTTGATTTGATTTCTTACAGCACGAAGCAACATATTAGGGAAGGTCAAAGGTCGAATTATTCCCAAAATGACATCAAATGGTCCTGATGGCCTATTATTCCTGCGGCGGGAACACTGCCTATTGGCCATGGCCCCGGCAACGATCACATATCATTAAAGAATGTGCATTTTGTCTCTAATGTACAAACATTCTAAGCAACAACCCCAGTGTAATAATATCTTTAGTTCTCTCTGCCTGGCAAAAATTGAAAATTTCTTCTGCCGCATCTGAAGTAGGTACTGTATTATTGTTGTTCTGGTGTTGAATGATGTGTACTGAATGGAGCATTCATCCTGCACCTGCCCTTGTCCTAACAGCCACAGTCCAAAAGGATCGACAGCCTCAAGCTTTCAAAACGACACCTGGTGAGACAACTACAATAGTCATTTTCGATTCACACAATGTCGTGATTATGTGTTGTGAAAATGTTATGGGTTAAATCCTCACATTATTTTGTCATACCCTACATATAAAAGGATGTGTACTGTGTAGCCTTGGCAACGGGTTTTGAGCCACAAGCATGCAGCGCTGTGCTTACACGTTTGTGTTGAAAAGCACATTATTTTTGATTTTATCGCGGTCCAAAGGGTGTTCTGGCATGTGCATAGTCTAAACTAGTGGATGGTACTCACATCATGGTTTGTCCTTTGTGGGCATATAACACTGTAGAATACTCGTATGATGCACTCGTATGATGCACTCGTATGATGCACTCGTATGATATTATGCAAGGAGAAATTACCCGGATTGTGGACAATAATACTAAGGACAGGAGCACAAGCTTCAGACTCTTGAACAACATCTTGAGAGAAGTCTTTGTTGTCTCCCAGGAAACTGTTCTCTGTGGACTAGTTAATCAATGGCATCATAAACATTGTTGTGTGTGAATCCTGTTTTTTGGGCATGTGCTGTAGGCCGTGCCACAACCAGACCAAACAAGCCGATCCAGAGCATCTACATCACTAGTATGTAACCGTTTGCCACACAGCAGCAGTGATCATACTGTCTTCAACTGTTTTCTCTCAATATGCATGCATGCACTTCTCGGGTCGAGAATCATACTGATGCAGGTTTGATGCAGGTTTGATGCAGCAGAAATTTCACGAACTTCAGGCACTACACAGTGCATGCATTTCAGTGTGTGGGGGAGGGGGGGGGGGGGGGGTCTGGAGCCGAATAGATTTGAGATCAATATTGATGCATCCCTGTCCAGTCCAACACCAGTCAGTGAATAGTTTAGAAAGGTTTCGTCCGCTTTTCCTCAGTACACTCCACCGCCTCCTTTGCCATGTGACCAATATGCCAAATAAGCTTGGTTGTGATGAATGAATATGCCAAATAAGCTTGGTTGTGATTAATATGCCAAATAAGCTTGGTTGTGATGAATATGCAGTGGATGTACATGTAGTTGAAAGGGCAATCCAGGAATTCCATCTTTCTTTGAGCTTCCACGTGATCATGTATCCATTCTAGCTTTGTTCAGTGTGTACAAGACAGAAGCGGAACATGTGGCATTCTACTACTAAACCTGTTCAACTAGTATCACTGTTATGTGAATGAGAGTCCTCCGCTGCTCCAGCTCCGAGTCGGCTCCGAGTCGGCAGAGACAGGTAGAGACAGTCATCAGTTGTCTGATGATTGCCTATGGTCATGAAACCATCAGTTATAACTGGATGATGTGTGATGCTCTGGGACTTGTGTTGCTGTTATGTACGTATTCTTCAACCAGATCCGGAGCTCACCTGTGCAGCAGCGCCCGTCGCCTACACGGGATGAACCCATGCTGCTGTCCGTTGGGGAAATTGAACAAAACAAAGCCAGGCTGAAGACCCTGGCTACGGTCGTTCCTCTGTCGTCAATGGACACCAACGCCATTTGTCGGTTGGGACATGGCAACTTTGGATCGGTACGTCACAGTGGTACAAGACTAGTGCATGTTCTCCTTTCTAAATCACCTTTTCAAGCTGCATGCCATTTTGTAATGTGCTCTTTTATCCAGCCAGGCTTCCATTATGTTAGCTGTTTGTTGATGGCGGCGGATGTAAGTATGGAACTCGTCTGTATAGCAAAGGTTTTGTTACCATGGTGATCTGTTCTACCACGCTATGTGCTACTTTAAAAATACTCACATAGCTCTTCCTTGAAACTCGGTGGGGATAAACGAAGGTGGCCCATTTAGACAAGATAAGTAGGGGGACTAGGTGATCAAACGTGCCGCCACATGATGTATTGCAAGTCTTGCCTGCGGATCTGCTCAATCAAATATCTACCAGTCGGTGACAGAACAGAAGAGCGCAGGGTATCCTGAGGTCTGGTTCGATTGGATGCACAGAAAACATTCCATGGACTACTAGTGTGGTAGTTATGCATTGTACATCACGGCTGTAGTACTGATGTGCACAGTCATGGTAACAGTACATTGTGTAATGCTCTTGGCCATATCCTGCTGTTGAGCTGGTTTTACAGATGAAGAATCTGAGAGACACAATGGCTGGTTGTCTATTCTTTCCGTGTGCTTAGTCTGGTTTCTTGCATGCCCACAACTAGCACCCTAACAACCCCGGTATCAAGGACCGTTTGAAATTATAAAACACACATGCACTAGTCCGACAGAACTGATATATTATGCACCCATGTTCGGGTCTAGTCTGACCTAATTGTATACGAGCTAATTCTATTAGCTTGTGTATGTAAATTGTGTATGTAAATTGTGTATGTAAAATGTGTATGCAAAATGGGTGTCTGAATTGTGTATGGAAATGTGTAAATAAAATCTCAGGGCTCTAGCCAAAAGGGGGTGTGGGGGGGGGGGGGGGAGGGTAGCGCCCCCCCCCCCCCTAATAATCTCTTTGAGCGCCCCCCCCCCCCTGCTCATTTTCTGATTTTTGTGCTTTTTCATGCCATTCAACAAAAATGCAGTCGATAGTCAGTACTAGCGGGTTCATAAAGGTACATTTTCCTGGGGTGAAGTCAGGTGTTCGCCCCGTACGTTGCATTTCGCATTGCAAGACAGTTATTTTGAAAATGGAAAAAAATGGGTTACGGGGTAACTGTTTTCCCTGCGCCCCCCCCCCCCTACTATTTCGACCTGGCTAGAACCATGAATCAGTATGTGTGTACTGTGTGGGTTATATCCGT